AAGGCGTTACCATTAATGCTGAGCGTTATTGCAATGCTCCGGACTCTCCGAAGCTGAAAATCAAACAACCGACCAGGCTTTCTCCCAGAGAGTGTGATTCTTCTGCATGAAAATGCTCGTACTCACGATGCCCGTAACACTGGGGAACTTCAAGTGGGAAATCCTCCAGCATCCGCCGTACGGCCCCAAGTGAAGAAGCACTTGAAAGGTCGCCGTTTCATGTCGAACGTGGAGTGCAGGACGAGGTCTGTGATTTGATCGCCTCACGCCCGAGGGAAATTCTGCAAGCGAGACTGGTCTTGTGCAACAGTGGAATAAATGCTCTAAAAATGGCTTCGTAAGTGTACCACTAAAGGAGGATTTACCACGGGTCGGGTTTCATTTTGGCAGCGTCTAATAGTCTAATGTGTATCGTCACTATTCAATTCATTGCCATAAAGAAGACTAAATCCAATCCTATCAGAAGTGCCTTTTTACCAATTTTGGGAAATATGTGCATAATGTTACATACAATTTTATTTTGATTTCATAGTGTATTTACGAAGAAATTAAATGTTAATATTGCAGATGTACCGGACACGGCATTGTTTGCATTTCACGCAAACATCAACGATGAAATTCGCACACAACTTCCAGGAAATATTAATGGGGAAACAAGGACTCCAACAAATGGATTTTGGATATTGGAATTCAATGACAAACTAAAACAGGGAGACGTGGTTAACTACTGGATGAACGTAAATGCAAATCGCCTGGTGTATAGAAAGAATGGGGATCCCATAAAAATTATCCGTAAGTTGTTGCGAACAAAAAACCCTTTGGCATAAATACGATCTGCACCAGGACTTTTGGATGAATACACCGAGCTTAGGAATAGATGCGATCCCGCGTCCACAGTTATTAATGCGGGTAAATCGACGTGCCTTTATAACGTGATCTTTCAAGATAAATTCGAGGGAACTGCTCTCAATACGATGCTTTGGAAGGTGGAGCACAAAATTCCCACCTATTCCGAACCGGTAAGTCAATAGCATATGCATTATAGATACCTCTTAATGTAGCCTTGCAGAATTCGCCATTTAATTCGTATGAAAATCGGGAAGATACCCGATTTATCAAAGATAACAAATTGCACTTGAAACCAAACGCAGTTGCCGAAGCAGAAGTTCGTGGAACCTTAAATTTGAGAGACGGGTACGTTTTTTTATAATCTCATGACTCTCCTCGTAATAGGTATACCTTAAACAGATGCACGGGAACTAAAGAAACAGAATGCTTCTACGAACAAAGATCATCGTTTCTGTTACCACCAGTCAAATCGGCTAAAATTGTTTCAAAGACTTCATTTAAGTATGGCAAGGTCGAAATTAGAGCCCAACTGCCCAGAGGTGACTGGATATTCCCCAGTAAATACTCTACGGTGAAAATTACATGGTTTGGTCTAGTTTTCACTTTCAGTTATACAATTGGAGTCCGCCCAAAAGGATATCGCAAATCCGTCAAAAATTTGGATAGCGTACAGTAGAGGTAATACCAAATTAATCATGAGCGATCCAAACGACATCGATGTACGTAAATTTAGTGACAACGATATTGGGGGGCGTCTCTTGCTCTCAGGACCTGTGGCGGAGGTGGAGGAACCCGAACGAAGTAGACGGTTGGTTCACAAGTATGCGAATCAACCGTTCTTTGACGATTACCACATTTATGGCTTGTTGTGGACCAAAAGTAGGTCCTATAACGTGTTTTGGAAAATGTGCTAGTAAACTGTTTCAGATGAAATGCGTTTCTACATAGATTCTGAGGAGTATGGATCTGTAGACTTGAAATCATTAACAGAAAACTTCGATCGAGAGGTTAGTACACTTTATCCGCCACTTTAGTTCATTGAAGCCTATGATAATAAGAAGGCTAAACGCCAAACGTTCCTTGGGGTGTAACATACACGTATTTCGGAAATTAACTACCGTTTCCTTTTTTCAACTCGTTCCAATGTTAAAAATAATCGATTACTTACCTTCCTTTTATTTTCAGTGCGTCCTGAGTTTAGGTGTTGGAGTTGGAGGATTATTCGATTTTCCCGAAGGAGTCTCAAGTAATCAAAAACCATGGAAAAATGAAGACAGAAACGCAATCAAACGATTCTTTGAGGGGAAACCCACATGGCTTCAAACGTGGGATGACGAAAGGTCCTGTCTTATTGTCGATTATGTACAAGTTACGGCGGTTTAAACCATGTCTAGCCCATTGTGTGTCTGGGAAGAACTGTTGATGTATATTATAAAAATGTATTACTAAACCAAATAAATTTTATATTTAATATGACCACCTTGCTTCATTACTAAAAGTTGAATTAACTGCAAGAGAGCCGCCCAAAAAGGTTATCGCAACCCCAAGTTAACGGATATTTCCCTTTATAAACATCTCCTTGGAGAAAAACTTAGAGAGTAACGAAGCAACCCTATACCCATCCTTGGTGGTGCAGGGCGCTCGAAATGCAGAAAACTCAGTTGGACAAAGAGTTCAATAAAGCCAGGAAGAGCAAAACTACAGCCAACCTATAAGGTAAACCTAAGATTATATAAGAAGGATGTCAGGGAGAGGCATAGAAGAGCTTTTGCAGCTCTATAGAATCCATCTCCTCTGCATTCCGCCGAAATAAAATCCTAATAAGGGATTCATATTACAACCCAGGTAGTCTCTGAAGATAGGATGGTACCTATACGGACAACCTGTCATGTCGGCCTGTGTGTTACAGTTCAGTTGAAGCTGGACTGCGGTACAAAGAGTCCCTGGTTCGAATCCGAGTTCGGGCATGGATATTTATAAATGGGTTAGCCTTGGCTGAAACCCCGCCCACTCAAAAATAAAAGCAAAAATTTAAAAAAGTAAAATGTTTTTTCGACTGGTAACAAATACACAAATAAGTTTACAATAGCTCTTAGTCCATATCATTTAAAAACCTCATAGGGATCCAAAGATTCCTGGATGGTGAATAATTACCCTAACTAAGGGCAGCGCTTTTTCGTAATTGCAGCTCCTTTATGAGATATGGAAAAGCTTCAACAGAATTGACAATTGAAGTAGGCTCGTATATTGAATACCCAACTCGTCCCAGGTCAATAGGTTCTCGTTTATTCATGCAGTGATCACGATCTTTTGCCAGGTCAAAGTTCATATTCGCGATTTTGATGCGTCGAATATATTCTGTTATTATATCGTTTCTGTGGCAACCACATATTTAATGAAATCAGATACAATGGTAAAAGAAAAAATTCCTCAGTATTACAGTTTATCCTCACAAGCCTATACAGAGACGAAACGGTCCTTTACTTAAAACGAGGTGTTAGGCAAGGCGACCCGGCAAGTTCAGTCCTATTTGCAATGGTAATACATCCAATTGTCCTAGCCATGGCGTCAGAGCTCAACCTGTGGTTCCTGGATGATAGAACGGTAGCTGAAGAACCGTCTACCGTGCTGGATGATTTGAAGAAAATTCAACACATGGCTGACAAGGTGGGACTAATTCTAAATCCTACAAAATTTCTACCCCTAGCATACAGTTTTTGGGTAGCTAGAAGCGTTTTAAGTTGGGCGCTTCGTTACGTTCATTTACCCAAAATCGTCATGAAACCTTCATTTTCATGCCTACTTTAAGGCAGGAAATTTCAGTTTCCATGACAGAGATAGACCAAGCTACTTTTCCTGCCACCTGTCACTTTACCGGCTGCACTTGTCATTTTACCGGCCTAACCTGTCACTTTTCTGGCCGAAAGTGTCACATCTAAATGTCTATAATGACTCCTGTCATCACTGACATATTGACATTAATCAGAAGTTTTCTATATAAAAATTGAAATTTTATTTAAAAATACGCTTTCGGGTAAATTTAATACAATATTCATCAGTAAAATGACATTACTTGACTCGGTAATTAAAGTACTCGGCCCCAAAGAGGCCTCGTACTTCAATGTTTCCTCGCAAGACTTTTACGTACCTACATAACTATTACAAAATTTTCAATGGGAATTTTTAAGACGATTTCCAAGGCGATTTCTAGAGGAAGTAATTTCCAAGAGTACAAAGTTGTAACAAAGTTTCTATGCATATGGTACTTGTTCTTGTTTCAATTCCCCTCTTAGTGACCGCCTTACTATACAGGCTGTTTCACGCAAACCTTTACCTAAAAGTATTCAAGCTTTCATTAATAATTTAAATCTGACAACATAGTTTTTCTTGATCTATCGAATATTTTCATGATTGTTTTACTTCTGGTTCTATCGGATGTCGACAGCAACTTTCTTATTTTAAATAGAACACCTTGTATATTATTGCATGTTTGAAATCTACATGAAAATTTACGTCGTTTGATAATAAATAAATAAAACGGAAAACATAACAGATAGGTATAGGGAATGTGTTGCTTGGTCGATGTAGAATTTTTTTCGACATATGAAGGTGCAAAAAAAGAAAGCAACTACAGTTGACCATTAGTTTTAAAACACCCTGCAGAAAAGTGATCAAAATTTAAGTCATTGTCAGGCAGCATCAAGTTAGTACTGTCGATTTTGGAATACTAATTGAAATTCAAGTCAACGGAGTCATAGGTACAGGGCTCAAAAGAATAGCAGTCAAACGTCAAAAATTTTGAAAAATCTGAAATAACTTGAAAACCTTTGATTCTGGGTATAGGGAAATGTGGTATCAAACGATGTAAATTTTCATGTAGATTTCAAAAATGCAATAACATTCTTAAAAAAAGTTCTATTTAAAATAAGTTAGTATGCAAATTTTCAGATTTAAATATTAATGAAAGCATACTTTGAGCTGTAGATACCTTAAACTTAGGACAGAGTAAAGAAATTTAGATGTGTTATTTTGGAACAAGACCACACGCATTTTCGAAATGCACAACCCAACCTTTGTCTTTTATCCGAAACTAATTCCTTTGACTTTTGACATTGAACTGATAAGATGGACGGAAGATAACGGAGTACTGACCGATGCTTCAGTGTATACAGTTTAAAAGAAAGTGACGACGGTGTAAATATGTGCGTCAATAGGATTTTATGCATTCTCTTTCTCATATATGTTGTTAAAGGGAGTTATGTGATACCACCATTAAAATTAGAAGCTTTAAAGAAGGGAGGATTTCGTGTTTACTTTCCCGGTAAGTAATTCGAATCTTAAAATGTGTAACGTTAGTAACGGGACCTCACATATCTCCTTAGTTTTAAAGATATTTGATTGACCGTCTTTTAGATGTCATTTAGTTTGTATTTATGGCACAGCTTAATATAGCGTACTAGTGCAGACTACCTTTTAGTTTTAGCTCAAACTACTGCTCAGGTAGTTTAGTATTTTTAGTAAGATTTCGATTTTATAGAATTACAAGGGTCGCCTTAAATAAAAAAACAAAAGGTCACATTTCAAAGGTCACATATTTTAGTAGTGTCGTTGAATTCAGAAAATTATTCAGAATTCAATGCAATAATATACAGGGTGTTCTATTTAAACATTTTCGGCGAAACCGAAAGTAAAAAGTATATAGGTAAGTAGTCAGCTGTATGTCGTAAAACTAAGGGAGCTAAGTGGATGGCACTATGGTTTTGGTACACCCGGTATTTGCGTATTTAACTCCAGTTTGTATATTCGTTTTTTAGGCGATTAAATGTTGGATTGCCCATGGCGAAATTGTATGACGCCATGGGATTTCCCATATAATCGATAAAGCGCACATTAACATTATCTACTTTCGAAGTAATATCACGACTGAATTTGTTAACCTTCATACTCGGTATACCTATCTGCTTTAAATGATATTAAAAAATTTGCTAAACCAAACGGGATAAAGCACTATAATTGTGCATTACATTACAGACACAACGAACGCTTAAATTCATTCGTGCCCCCAAAGAAAAATCTTCCAGGTCGTTCATGTAATCAAAAGCCCTCGCGTTTCGTCGTTAAAGTGCAATGACCATTGTTTAACAGGAATTTCACAATAACTTGCACCATTCAAAAAGAAAGTTAGTAGGACATTGAAAATGTTTCAGTTGAAACGGACTCATTGGATAACCCATATGTATTTTTCATAAATATATTTTTAATGTACCATATTCTGTGGGTCAGATTGGGTACTTATTAACTAAATAATAGGTACTGGACCACTAACTATAAATTATTTTATTTGTTACTCAGTTGTAAACGGTGATTAACAAGACAAAACGCAAACGGGTAAACGTCATGTTTAAATGCTACTGACTTGTAAAACTGACAGCAGACCTGTAAAAATTTTACAAGTTAGTAATCTAGTAATTTCATTGGCCAGAATTAATGCGAAGTCTCTGTTACATGGATCACATGATATTTTAGACATTTCTTCAAGATTAATTTAAGAACTAATTATTTACGTTTACTATTGTTTACAAATGAGTAACAAATAAAATATTGTACATTATACGCCAAGTAATAGTTTTTACTGGCTCTAGGAGATGACAGGCTCGCCTAACGGCTCGCCAGTCAACTTCTCCTATCGCCAGTAAAAACTCACTTACCTGGCTAATAATGTAAAATACTATACAGGGTGACAATTTGAAAACTTACCACCCCCCATATCTTAGTAAATAAACGAGATATTTTAAAAAATCAAAATCCGTTTCGGTAAGTCGAAGGGGGAATCACAATGACATAGTTGGCGACGCACCCCCTCCAACCCCCTGCGCCCCAGCCACCCCAACTTTTAAATCTTAAATAGTGACCCCCCATGTGTGATACGTCGTTCGAAAGCTCTGAAAAAATGCTTTTCAACCACACCAAATAGCAACATTTAGGTTAGTAATTATCGTGCAAATCAAAAAATAAACTAATATGATACATTTGAAATCTGTCATTTTTACAACGCAACCGGCGAACAGAGACGAACTAAGACAGAGAATAATTCAAGAATGTCGAAATATTGCAAAACCAACATTGGAAAGGTTCGACAAGAGTTTGAGAATAGATTATAACTGGCGACCAAAAATGAGTTGCTGTCGAGTCGGCTTTGGAGGTTCAAGTTAAATACGATTTTCCATGTTTATTTTTTGATTTGCACGATAATTACTAACCTAAATGTAATGCTATTTGATATGGTTGGAAAGCATTTTTTCAGAGCTTTCCACTGACGTATCACACATGGGGAGTCACTATTTAAGATTTAAAAGTTGGGGTGGCTAGGGCGCAGGGGGTGTGAGGGGGTGCGTCGCCAACTATGTCATTGTGATTCCCCCTCCGAATTACCGAAACGGATTTTGATTTTTTTGAATATCTCGTATATTTACTAAGATATGGGGGGTGGTAAGTTTTCAAATTGTCACCCTGTATATCGTCGCCTAGTTACCTCTTCACATGACCACTTCGATCTCGCGTTCAAAGAGGGGAGAAAAATTACCAAAAGGAAGAAACCAAGGGAGAAACAAGGCAGACTAAGAGATCCTTGTTCTGACCTTGGAAAGCCAAAGAAATCAAATACTTGATAGGGATAGAACATAATCAATAATTAACGTCACAAGGGAAATTTAATTAATGATCTAAAAAATACTTCAAATAGATCACTGTAATAATATAACAATCTGCTATGTCAATGTTTGAATTCAAAATGATTTTTAGTAAAAGCGGATCACGTAGTCAGAGAAAAGATTAGTATCAAAACAGACTTCCGCAGAAAACAACAGAGCTATAATCATTCAGTAAATATAAAGCAAAGGTAGTAATTACAATTCGATTGTATCGAAAACCAGAGTGTAATCAAACGTTATATCAAGAAGTCGACGAAAAAGAGTTTGGTCGTAGCGGTCGTCTCAATTCAGAAGGGCGCGTTCAGCCTTTTCTGTAATAGATAACAACACAAACAAACAAATAAAAGAGGTAGTGAATAGCGCGGCACATAAAATATTACGAAATAGCAATGCGTCTGACACGGACATGTTGGCATAAGACAAATTAGGGGCGGTTATTCCTAGCTGATACAATGCCTCATGAAATGATGGAATGATACGAACTGTAAAATGGATTTTTCCGTGGGATACCTTTTCTTCTACTAATTTGTCAGGGAGTCGTAGTTTGAAATAATCTAGGTAGCTTAACGTTCTCATGCCAGTACCTTTTCGGTGTGTTAGATTGCAGCAGGGTGTACCGTGTTTGTTGCAATAGTCACTCCAAGAGGAACTCCATCTAAAATTAATAAGTGCCTTCCTGTTTGTTTAAAATTATGTTCTATTTTTATTAGCACAAATAATTTCTTTACGCTTAAATTCAGAAAACACTTTTTACTTGTCGAAGGAAAATTTTCAGTGGGCTAATTCTTGAGCGGAGAAGTATATTTTGCTTCCAATTTCTTTCCTTAATTCTAAGATTTTCGGAAAACTCGCGAGAAGTTAACGTTTCAAATCAATGCCCGAAATTTACTTTTTGACTAAACACGGCTTACTCTGGCAACCGAGACCCGAATAAATGCCAAATCTTACTATGTGCCACGCACTGGTTATATCCGTGGCTCAAATGCGAATTACGAGCTCTCCCGGAATAACCCACACTTAAATAATTACCTCGATAATTACTGATTAATTAACGCATTTTTCAAGATGGCTTGTAGTAATTAAGTAAGCCATTTTTTGATAAGACCCAATCAAAGTTGCTCTGCAAGTTTTACAAATCCCACGATAGGAGAGGACCTAATGCTTAATTCGCAATTTTAATCACGTATAGCCTTAATTAAGATAACCGAATATAACACAAGCCCCGGACAGCGGGCGATACCGATTTCCGTTCCCTGACCCACTAATGTTTACACCCTGTCTAAACTGTTCGAATTCCAAAAACCCCAATGTTACCTATCTCTATTGACCTTTTTCTTTGATTATCGTGGACAGTCGCCGGTTGACTTCTTACCGCAAGGCGTTACCATTAATGCTGAGCGTTATTGCAATGCTCCGGACTCTCCGAAGCTGAAAATCAAACAACCGACCAGGCTTTCTCCCAGAGAGTGTGATTCTTCTGCATGAAAATGCTCGTACTCACGATGCCCGTAACACTGGGGAACTTCAAGTGGGAAATCCTCCAGCATCCGCCGTACGGCCCCAAGTGAAGAAGCACTTGAAAGGTCGCCGTTTCATGTCGAACGTGGAGTGCAGGACGAGGTCTGTGATTTGATCGCCTCACGCCCGAGGGAAATTCTGTAAGCGTGGAATAAATGCTCTAAAAATGGCTTCGTAAGTGTACCACTAAAGGAGGATTTACCACGGGTCGGGTTTCATTTTGGCAGCGTCTAATAGTCTAATGTGTATCGTCACTATTCAATTCATTGCCATAAAGAAGACTAAATCCAATCCTATCAGAAGTGCCTTTTTACCAATTTTGGGAAATATGTGCATACATACAATTTTATTTTGATTTCATAGTGTATTTACGAAGAAATTAAATGGTAATATTGCAGATGTACCGGACACGGCATTGTTTGCATTTCACGCAAACATCAACGATGAAATTCGCACACAACTTCCAGGAAATATTAATGGGGAAACAAGGACTCCAACAAATGGATTTTGGATATTGGAATTCAATGACAAACTAAAACAGGGAGACGTGGTTAACTACTGGATGAACGTAAATGCAAATCGCCTGGTGTATAGAAAGAATGGGGATCCCATAAAAATTATCCGTAAGTTGTTGCGAACAAAAAACCCTTTGGCATAAATACGATCTGCACCAGGACTTTTGGATGAATACACCGAGCTTAGGAATAGATGCGATCCCGCGTCCACAGTTATTAATGCGGGTAAATCGACGTGCCTTTATAACGTGATCTTTCAAGATAAATTCGAGGGAACTGCTCTCAATACGATGCTTTGGAAGGTGGAGCACAAAATTCCCACCTATTCCGAACCGGTAAGTCAATAGCATATGCATTATAGATACCTCTTAATGTAGCCTTGCAGAATTCGCCATTTAATTCGTATGAAAATCGGGAAGATACCCGATTTATCAAAGATAACAAATTGCACTTGAAACCAAACGCAGTTGCCGAAACAGAAGTTCGTGGAACCTTAAATTTGCTAGACGGGTAGGTTTTTTTATAATCTCATGACTCTCCTCGTAATAGGTATACCTTAAACAGATGCACGGGAACTAAAGAAACAGAATGCTTCTACGAACAAAGATCATCGTTTCTGTTACCGCCAGTCAAATCGGCTAAAATTGTTTCAAAGACTTCATTTAAGTATGGCAAGGTCGAAATTAGAGCCCAACTGCCCAGAGGTGACTGGATATTCCCCAGTAAATACTCTACGGTGAAAATTACATGGTTTGGTCTAGTTTTCACTTTCAGTTATACAATTGGAGTCCGCCCAAAAGGATATCGCAAATCCGTCAAAAATTTGGATAGCGTACAGTAGAGGTAATACCAAATTAATCATGAGCGATCCAAACAACATCGATGTACGTAAATTTAGTGACAACGATATTGGGGGGCGTCTCTTGCTCTCAGGACCTGTGGCGGAGGTGGAGGAACCCGAACGAAGTAGACGGTTGGTTCACAAGTATGCGAATCAACCGTTCTTTGACGATTACCACATTTATGGCTTGTTGTGGACCAAAAGTAGGTCCTATAACGTGTTTTGGAAAATGTGCTAGTAAACTGTTTCAGATGAAATGCGTTTCTACATAGATTCTGAGGAGTATGGATCTGTAGACTTGAAATCATTAACAGAAAACTTCGATCGAGAGGTTAGTACACTTTATCCGCCACTTTAGTTCATTGAAGCCTATGATAATAAGAAGGCTAAACGCCAAACGTTCCTTGGGGTGTAACATACACGTATTTCGGAAATTAACTACCGTTTCCTTTTTTCAACTCGTTCCAATGTTAAAAATAATCGATTACTTACCTTCCTTTTATTTTCAGTGCGTCCTGAGTTTAGGTGTTGGAGTTGGAGGATTATTCGATTTTCCCGAAGGAGTCTCAAGTAATCAAAAACCATGGAAAAATGGAGACAGAAACGCAATCAAACGATTCTTTGAGGGGAAACCCACATGGCTTCAAACGTGGGATGACGAAAGATCCTGTCTTATTGTCGATTATGTACAAGTTACGGCGGTTTAAACCATGTCTAGCCCATTGTGTGCCTGTGAGAGAGATGTTGATGTCGGTATATTAGAAAAATGTATTTACTAAACCAAATAAATTTTATATTTAATACGACCACGTCATGGTCTATACACCACCTTGCTTCATTATTAAAAGTTGCTTACATGCCAACCTTAGGTAGGTACGTCTAATTACCTATAGCTACAGCTATACAGGATGGTCATACTACCATTACATGCCAATTTTGTAATATTTTGTGTGATTCCAACCAATTACAAGACGATTTTGTAATCATTCATAAAAATTGTAACTATTGTGTACACGTTGTAACGGCTCTCGGTATAAATGGTAGTCACTGACTTTTTGATAAAATATTATTTTCAGCCGCCGCCAGACATTAGGACGCAAACATTAGGACGGGGACATTAAAACGCAGACATTGGGACGCAGACACTATGATGTTAAAGTAAAAATGTTAATTGCCATTTTAATCAAAAATTATATTTAGAAGTTGGCGTGTTTTAGAATGAATAATATATTCTGTCCGTCAATTTTATAGAATTGTATTCTTTTTCATAAAAAGAAGACATACATGTTCTAATTGTGCTTTTTGGATATATTAAATAACTTTAATAGGTTATGGACCCAGATTAATAAAAGAGTCTGAATAAAGAAATCGCACGTGGGAGTCCAAAAGTACAAAGTCGAGTCGCGAAGTTTTGTTTGTTGTAGAGTTTCGTCATTACACATTTTTTTAAGAAATGGATCTGGCGAAACACATCAAACCCCTAGCTGATGGTGAGGCAGACTGGCCAATATTTGGAAGAGAAAAATGCGTGACTTGCTGAACTATGATGAGGGTGCCCTGGACGTCATTGATGGAAAGCTTTGCAAACCAGAAACTTTGTCAGATAACGAACAAGATGACAGAGTCAAAGCTAATCACAAAAAGACAAGTGATTTATTTCGTAAGGCGAATAGTTATGCAAAATCCATGATATCGAGCTCAGTGACGGACACATTTTAAAAAAAGATTATGGATAAAGAAACAGCGCATGATGCATGGGAAGCGTTAAAATTGAATTTTGAGGCGTCATCCAAAGATCAGCTATTTTTGCATTCAGTTGGATTAATGGAGAGGATGTTTCAACCCATGTTGCTAAATTGAGAAATTTATGTAATGAGCTTAACAATGGTTTAAAATCCAAGGAAGACGAGGAAGAAAATGAACTGCCTGGTTTACTCATTGTTTGTAAAGTTTTGCAAATTTTACCAGACGCGATTTCGAGAATTTCAGATCTAGTTAGATGTTATTGTCGAAAAACGAAGAAAAAACTTTTGATGAACTAGTGACCCAATTGTGAATGTACAAAAGAAATTTCAGAAAGGTCACAGACAGCGCCACTGGAGAAGCGTTGTTTGTAAAAAACGGAAAATCCAAAACATACCAAAAATCAAAGAGGTCAAAAGACGACGGCGAAAACAAGGGACATTGGATAAAAACGTGCAAAAAGTGGATTGCGGATGGACGACCACAGAAGAAAGTACATCAGACCAACGTCGTGGATTCCAATATGTAGCCCTTTGTGGTGTGAGTGAAGATATTCTTCAATTGAAAGAGACTTCATCAGGATGGTGGATCGACAATGGAGCCACAAAGCACTTATTGACGAATTCTCCGGACCAGTTTGTTGAGTTTCAAGAATTTCAATCACCCTGCGTCGTAAGGCTGCTGGAAAAGAAGTGCTCAAAGCCATTGCGGAAAGGGAACAATTGAAATTTCTTCTTTCACTGAGAAAAGCACTCTAAAAATGATCATGACTGATGTGTGGTATGTTCCAAAGATTTCAAGAAATCTTTTTTGTTTTAGCAGCTCAAGATAATGAAAACAGTAAGTGCTACTCCACTGTGACCAAGTGCTGGTTAGAAGTGAATGGAAAAACTGTCCTGTGCGGAGATCGTGAAAAAGGCGGAGGTCTGTACAAGGCAGCCATCGAAACAGTGATTCCTGAGAAACCAGAGGGAGTCAACATCGCAGAAGTAGAAAACTCAATGCTGCAACTCTATCATGAAAGATGGGGACACAAAGACAAGCGACACGTGAGAGAGATGCTCAAAAGAGAGTTAGGCATCACCGTGAAGCTAGTGAAAGAGGTTTGTGGGCCCTGTATTTATGGAAAGGCGCATCGCTTGCCGTTTGGTACTCGAGTAACTGCAACACGAGACCTGGTGAACTTTTTTCTACTGATGTATGCCCATTTTGTGAATCCTTCAGTAAAAAACGATTTCTTGTGATTTTTAAAGACAATTACACAAAATTTCGTTATGATTTTGTGATAAAACATAAATCAGATGTGCGAAATGTGTTAAAACAGTTCTTAGCACACGCAAAAACCCTTGGGCACAGCATTGGAGAACTACTTAGTGATAATAGTGGTGAATTCGACTGTGAAGAGGTTAAGACCATCCTAGTGGAGAACGGAATCACTCAGAGACTGACAGCGCCCTACACACCAGAGCAAAATGGAGGCGGTGAGCGTGAGAACCGAACAACAATCGAAATGGCCAGAACCTCAAACAGTGAAGTTGATTTTCCAGATTCTTTTTGGACAGAGTTGGTAATGACAGCCATTTACGTGTTAAATGGATCAGAAAAATCTTCAAAAGAAGGGGTGAAGTCCTTATGAACTGTGGACTGGAAGGAAACCAAGGATAAAACATCTACGAGTTGTTGGATCTGTCTGCTATGTTCACATACCTGCTGAGAAGAGAAAGAAGATGGACAAGAAAGCAATCAAAGGATTCCTCGTTGGATATGATGGTGATGAGCGTTACAGAATTTATATTCCAAACGATCACAAGGTCATTCTATCCAGAGATGTTCAATTTCAAGAAAAAATTAAAGAATGTGAAAGTCAAGTTAAGTTTCCAATAAAAGAAGACAATGAAGGAACAGAAGAAGATGACAGTGACGATGAGCTACAAGTGGATCCAGAAGAAAAATGTAAGACGGAAAAAGAAGAATATTTTCAGAAGAATTTTGAAAGAATCTTGAGGGATAGATCGATCTTGAGGAAACCCCAACATCTGGAACCATATTCCATGCTGGTGGAGGAGTTTGTAAATCTAGTGACAGAGGATCCCGAGACGTTTGAAGATGCCCTAAAAAGAAGTGATTATGTAGAGTGGAAGAAAGCCACGGATCGTGAAATCGTGAAAACCAAACCTGGATTTTGACAGCTTCCACCTGGTGCGAAGGCAATTCAATGCAAGTGGGTCTTCCGACTTGAAGAAAAATCCTGACGGTAGGTAGTATCGACAAGTACAAGGGGCGGCTAGTCATCAAGGGGTTCAGTCAGCGTCATGGTATCGATTACAGTGAAACCTTCAGTCCAGTCGCCCGGATGGGGACAATCCGATCGATTCTTAGCATTGCAGCAAGTGAAAGCATGAATTTGATGCAATTTGACGTCTCGACTGCATTCCTGTACGGAAATCTTGAAGAAACAGTTTTCATGAAACAGCCCCAAGGATATGAAGATGGAACCAACAAAGGTCTGCCAACTCAAAAGAAGTCTCTACAGTCTCAAACAAGCGCCAAGATGCTGGAACAAACGTCTGTGGGAGCTTTTCTTCATGAACATGGATTCAAGGTCAGTAATGCTGATCCATGCTTATTTATTCGAGAAAGGGATGGACAAAAACTTATCATTGGAATTTATGTGGATGATGGTATCGTAGCTGGAACAGATTCAAGAGAGCTAGAAGTTTTCATTGGAGAGTTGAAATCCGAATTCAAAATTGTCTCGAAAAATACAGACTATTTTTTGGGAATTGAAATACAACAAGAAGAAGGGTTTATAAAAATTCATCAGAAAACTTATGCAGAAAAAATTTTGGAACGTTTCAATATGTCAGATTGCAAACCAGTTTCAACTCCAATGCTTAAGGGCGAAGAAACTTCCACATCAGGGAAAGTTAACCAGGCGATACAATTTCCCTACAGGCAAGCAGTTGGAGCACTGACGTACCTAAATGCTCGGCACAAGACCTGATCTAGCGTAGGTACAGCGTAGGATACATCTCAAGAGTCTTTGAAAATCCAACTCAAGAGGATGTCATTCGAGTCAAGAGAGTTTTTCGGTACATCGCAGGGACTTTGACCTTTGGCATAGTCTACTGTAGGAGAAAAAAAGAGGTTGGAGTTTTGGAGATCTACCAGTGATGCTAATTTCGAGAGATGTACGAAAGCAGGCCGTTCAACCTCAGGAGTCATCGTGAAATACTCAGGAGGAGCAATTTCTTGGTTGAGCCAACGACAAGCAGTTGTAGCTACATCAACAACTGAAGCTGAATAGCAGCAAACGATGTTAATTGCCATTTTAAACAAAAGATAAGACCTTTTCTGTGGTTGGCGTGTTTTAAAATGAATAATATATTCTGTCAGTCAATTTTGTAGAATTGTATTCTTTTCTTAGACCATATAGACTGCTATTAGCCCTATGCTTTCAATACAAAATGGGTGGTCAGGGATAGAGGGCACTGTAGTCGCGGGTATGTGAATTTCAGGGTAAACTAAAGTCGTATGAACACCACTCGGATCGCGTAGAGTAGCTTTTATAATAACTGCGTAGTACGGGAAGCTTTAAATACTTTGCTTTTTTGGCATATGTAGGCGCAGTAGCGTACGCAGGATTTTTTTTCGGGAGGGGCTGAAACTCGAGAATTAAGACCAAAGTATGTAAATTTTCACGTATGTCGTACACATTCGCAAGATCAAGTAAGCGAAGGAAAAAGTATGGCAGTTTTTCCAGCAACTGCAACATTTTTATTGTTGCTTGGCATTTAAATAATTATACCATGACTGACGACTTACCTTTTATAGTAACTGCGTAGTACGGGAAGCTTTAAATACTCTTGATTATCTTCTATCCATCCACAAATAAGAATAGAACTGAAACAGCGCATTATATGGTCTCACTCGCAAAGTGTAAAAATCGTTTCAGGTAACTCTATGGAACTAAACTTAACTATTATATTAGGGGTGTCTATTAAATTCCCGTTTTAATTAACCGCTACCACGTTTTCTTCTTTTAATCCCTCAAGAATTTCCTCCTCGCTACAATTTAGAAAGTCCTGATAGTAAATGACTGTGTTTTACACATTCTAAGTTCCATGTGGTCTTGATTTTTTGAAAGGCTGAACCTGTACCAATCTTCAAAATCCAATTCTGACAAACCATCTGGCTTACAGTTTCCAGACAGACAGTCCAACAATAAGTACTATCTGAAATATACTAACAAATCACATAAAAATAAAAAAACTGATTTTTCTAGTTGAAATAAATTTAATGTGTTAATAAAAGTAGGATTTGCTGTAATTTAATTACTTGACACACTTAAAGCTTATTTTAAACAGTACGCACAAAAATTAAAAGGTAGCAGTACAAAGTAGGTATATTAATGGCACAATTTAACATCGGCAAGGACTCGAGCACTACTACACTAATATTAACTAGAAAATGGTAACTTAATTTGTTAATGTATCAAACATAGGTATATATAATTTCTTTTACATAATTTATGTACTATTAACTAAATATTTACAGAACTTCACTGAATTAATCTTTGGTTCAAATTTGAAAATACAATTCTTGAGTAGGTATAGTAGATTGCTGACTTGAATTCTGACTTCTTACACCTATTTGAAGATTCCTAGTGTAATTTTGGCCACTTTAAACCAAATGTAATGACTAACATACCATCTTAAAATTATATTGTTATTAACAAGTTTTTAATACTAAGCAGGTTCATAAAATGGCAACTATTTTTGGCTTCATAAAAAAATAAGTTTGTGGAACCTACGGATGCTACCATGCCCTACATTTAAACATAATGTAAGCTTAGTTTGACCCTTTGTGACCAGCAGTTCCACACTTTACACAAAACAGAAAAATTTGGCATTTGTGAGGGCAGTTTTGTCGTTTTCACCAATTCACTACAAGTTTCTCAAAAAGAGCAAGAATGAGAAACTGCACAAGACTAATGATAAAAGATGCTAAAAAATATTAGATAAAATTCATACATTACAAAAATATGTACTCTTGCAACCTATAAAACATAGTTCCAAACATTATTATTAAAATGTTTAAAAATTAATGGCATATAAAGTATGAGCAAACAATATTTGGCAAGTATTCTCAACCATATTCTGACTGTATTGCTAAACTGAATTCTCCTGGTGCAATCGTGGTACCATGATACCAAACTCTTGTATCAATCAAAACTACGACACATTGATACAATTACCGGATATAACCTACAAAAATTAACTTACCAGCATCACCAGGTTCTGCTAAGAATGTTAACGAATGGCACACTGTTTCGCATTCCGGGGAAGGCTTCAAGTGCCACGTTTTTGTGCCTTGTAACTGAGCCTGCCACATTAAGCGATTGATAAAGTCGAGCTAAAAATTAAAGTTAGTAAAAAGTGCAAAAAGTCATTAAAAGAATGAAACTAATGTTAAGTATACAATAGTATATAAATCCAAATTATAAAAATATACAGGGTGTCCCATTAAAAATATTGAATACATAGGACACCCTATGTATGTTGAATTCAATCAGTGACTACATTTTTAGTTTGTACAGATACTTTTATTTGAAATTATTTCTTGTGTTCCCAAAATTAATGAAAATAAGTGGGATCAAAACATCCTGACAATCCCTGTACAGCAGCCGTAGTAAAAATTTTGAATTTTTCCCCTGTACATGGTCAGGGGAAAAAGTTATCAAACTCAATCTTTTTTTTTAAATCCCTTTTTAAAAATATAACACTAACAAATTCAATATTGATTCAAAAAAACCCACTTTTTAAAAACAAATTTTAAAAATTCATACATATTTTTAAAATTTTATTGTAAGTATGGGTTTGAATCATTTGAATCTTTTTTTAATATCATCCAAGGTGTTACATCTTTTAAAAAAGAATTTTATATTATCTTTTTAGTTTAAAATATACAAGGTGTTCCATTTACAAAAATGAGGTCAGGTCCGATAATTTTTTACCTGACCCCATATTAGCAATAAATTCATAGGAATGACAGAATTAAGCAGGAAAACCATAATGACAAGATAGAAGACGATTTATTGGGCCTATTCTAACACAATAAAGCACAAGCTGGGCATTATAAAACACAACTGAATGCTAATTACAAGCTAATGAAATACCTACTAAGAACGGAAGTAATCAAGAGAACCCCTAGAATATGAAACAAAACTGTGGAGGAAGAACTAGGAGTAGAAGGCATAAAGGAATTAATTGAAAGAAAGCAGTTAGGATGGTTCGCCAGCAACAAGGACCAGTTTAACAAGTTTGGCAAGCAAAGATACAAAGAGGAAAAGAAAGAGGAAAAGAAAGAGGAAGTCAAAAAGAAAAAAAAAAAAGAAATAATGGGAATAGGTACCTACCTTACACCTTATACAGTAAAATGTTATTACTAATGTACCTATATACAAAAATGTACACATGAGATACTCACGTGCATTGTGGCACCCGCATCGTAACCCATAAACACATATTCCTTCGCAGAAAGTTCCGAATCTGCTGGAAGAAAATGAGGTTTAGGGTAATACTTGCGCATTACCTCCAGTACATCTGGATCGCAATTACCCCTAATTTTATCAGTTAGAAATTCAAATGACAAGGATTTAAAACACTTACCATCCGACGTACCATGGAGTTTCCCCCGGTGCGTTATTACTCCGCGCTTCGCTCATCGCGAACACATCCCTTAAAGAAATAAAATTCGATCGAAAATGCAAAAATTGGCATTCTTCATCGACGCTTCGATAAGCGTCGTCTAAGCTATTGTACAAATTTTTAAAAAATTCAAAACTGAACACCTTCACAGCCGGCCAATGAAGAAGAGCCCTCTTTATTACTATGGGCTTGGAACTAAACGCGTACTTACTAAACTCTTCTCGAGTTGCATTGTATAAGAGTATAGGTTCGGTTACATTTGTACAAAATTGGCAATCAGAAATAGGACGTGTGGCCTCCCATACGAAATAGTTGTTTGGTATAATGCAACGAACGCCTAAGGCATGCCTAGAAAGAATATCAAATATTCCGCACTGGTAACAAATACAAAATATCACAATTGAGACAGAAATTAAAACTGATATTAACTTTCGGTTGAGTGAAGTAGATTCGTTGCGAATTGCATATTTAAGTTCGTGCAGGTTATGGCCGAATTTTAAAAATTCCTCATTTAATTCTGTTAATTCTGCTTTAATAAGTAATTGATTTTGCTTTTCTTGCAGTTTCATGGTCCCCAATTCATTTTCGTATTTTAAGAAGTTTGTTTTTCAACAAACTTTCAGACTTTGTGGACACTTGACAGCTGATTGTGACGTCCGAGTCTGACAGTAATGCGCTGGATTGCCACGTTTCTGAAGTACTCAGTAGCGTACTCGAGAAATTTAGATAGCTGGATGCAGACATCATTACCATTGTACAGGGTGTCCCTAAAAGGTCTGTACAACGCGCTACCAGGGGTTCTTGGTATCAAAATAGGACGATTTAACCCAACTTACCTCTATCCAAAAGTGCTTCGGTAAGGCGCTATCTACCGCCAAAGATTTGAAAAAAAAATCGTTATTTTTATTTTATCGGAAAATGGTTTTGCCGATTAAAATGAAATTCGGGATCTGAATGTCTAATGTAAAAAGGATCTTTGTGATATCATCGTTTTGATTGTAGTTGCTATGTAGGTGGTAAAATACTGACCATCCACATCTGAAGAGGTCTAAAACTTTTTAACTACTATTTTGACGGTTCTGAATTTTTGGACACTGATAGACAGTTTACTTGCAAGCATTTTTTGTCTCTTGATGAATATCGCTATCTGTGATGGTTTACGAAAAAAAAAATTTAGGCATGATGAATGGCATGCACCATACATGCGATTGTTCCTAAAAAAATCAGAAGATGGCTGTGAAACAGAGTGGCGTAACGTTTGTTTGTTGTTTCTTCAACTTTAACAAAAATACATTTTGCTTGAAGACTTAAAATTTCATTGTTAAAATTGTAATATGGCCTTTCAATACAGTAACGCAGAGTTAACTGATATGCTATTAGTGTTTGGATACTGTCGTGGAAATGGTCGCAAAAAAAACGTAAATTGTTAAAGTTTAAGAAACAACAAACAAACGTTACGACACTCTAAGGTTTCACAGCCATCTTCATCATTTTTTGAGGAACAATCGCATGTATGGTGCATGCCATTCATTATGCCTAAATTTTTTTTTTTTCGTAAACCATCACAGATAGCGATATTCATCAAGAGACAAAAAATGCTTGGAAGTAAACTGTCTATCAGTGTCTAAAAATTCAGAACCGTCAAAATAGTAGTTAAAAAGTTTTAGACCTCTTCAGATGTGGATGGTCAGTATTTTACCACCTTCATAGCAACTACAATCAAAACGATGATATCACAAAGACCCTTTTTACATTAGACATTCAGATCCCGAATTTCATTTTAATCGGCAAAACCATTTTCCGATAAAATAAAAATAACGATTTTTTTTTAATCTTTGGCGGTAGATAGCGCCTTACCGAAGAACTTTTGGATAGAGGTAAGTTGGGTTAAATCGTCCTATTTTAATACCAAGAACCCCTGGTAGCGCGTTGTACAGACCTTTTAGGGACACCCTGTATATATAATAAATATACAATGTTAGTACCATTGAATTTAGTTATAAATTCAATGTTAGTACTGTATGAAAGAGTAATTATTATTAATTATTAATGCTTTGTTCTTTGAATTAAAACGTAACAAAGATGAAAACCGTTCCACACTCATATCCAAAGAATGTCTGAAATGAAATGTTGTTGCCTCCAAAGTAGATCCCATATAGCTAAACTCCCTGAAGTTCTGGTCATTTGTAACGCTTTAAATTACAAAACATCTTCTAATGAAGTTTCTAGTAATTGACTTCCAGCGAGATAGTTTCTTAAAAAAAATATGAACATATGAAAACATTTCTAAAAAGATTCCTCTAACGAATATTACCATGAAAACTACTAATGATATTTCCAAAAAGTGAAAAGATTTGCAAGGTTTCCGAGACCAATGAAATATTTGTAAGATTTCTGATGTTTATTCAGACGTCAAAAGTGCGATAGTTGTAGGAAGCCTAGAAGCACGCAAAAGAATCGGTGACCGACCAACTATCGCGGAACCAATAAAAGAAGCAGAAACCTACTTTGGGGAAGGTAGTCGCAAAAGTAGAAACCAACTTTTAGCGGCGCTAGAACAGAAGCAGATTCTGTTCCTGTCGTGGTTTGTACCGTTTTTGATTTAAAACGAGATTTCGTGCCATTCCTGATCCAAGATTGTACACTTTATCCAAATTCTAACAATTTCTGTGCTCAGTATTCATTTGAAAATACGCTACCTTCTATACTGGGACAGAACCCTTGAAATACGTATACAGGGTGGTGACTTGCGTAACGCATCATAGGGATTTCAATGTAAAACTCATAACATTGCGATTATTGGCTCCCCAAATTATTTTAGAGCAAAAATGTATTTAGGTTTTTTGTAGAAAAAAATTTTTTACGTCAATCAGCCGTATTAGTTTTCAATTTTTTGCATAATAAAGACGGAAAATTGGAAAAATAAAACCCGCATCTTTTTCAATAATCTGCGATACCCTGGAATTTTCTAAAACAAAAAGATATCCAGTTATCAATTAGCATCAGTTCGAAATAGATTTTATGATCGACTTGGTGACTGTCTTGCAATTAATGGTGACTTATTCGAACATTTATTGTAAATTGTTATATTAGGAAACCACTTTTAATAATTTGGTCTTTCTTTATGTTGAATTCGCTGTTCTAAATTAAATTTCCGTCTTTATCATGCAAAAAATTGAAAACTAATACAGAGGATTGACGTAAAAAATTGTTTTCTACAAAAAACCTTAATATATTTTTGCTCTAAAATAATTTGGGGAGCCAATAATCGCATTGTTATGAATTTTACATTGAAATCCCTATGATGCGTTACGCAAGTCACCACCCTGTATACATACAGAAAGTAGGCACACACCATGAGCGTTAAAATTCTCGATTGTAAACAAGGCTGTATATAAGGCAGCTTTAGTACACGTCAGTGTCGGTCATTTAGCCACCAATCAATTTTCTAACCTGTAATTATTTTACGTTAAAAATGTCCGATATTATAATTTCGTGTAAAGCGTATTGTAAAATAATTCTACACGCCGCAAAGTATCCACATTGCTCAATTAATGGAGTGTTGTTAGCCAAGTCCTCGACAAAAAAAGAAATCGAGTTCGTCGATGCCATTCCATTATTTCACAATGCCCTGAATCTAATTCCGATGGCAGAAATCGCATTGGCCCAAGTAAAATCTTGTTATTCAACCACTCTGGCTCACGGTTTCGTTACAGATTGACCAAGTTGCATCACGACAAGGTCTTGTGATCGCCGGTTATTATACTGCACACGAAAATCTTCAACAGAACTCCTTGGAAAAAGCATATCACCGAATATCAGAGAAAATAGCTGAGAACTTCAGTGGTGCTTGCCTCTTTGTGGTAAGTGTTTATTTGCTCTCAATATGAACGACTAAATTCCTTTACAGGTAGATAATCGTAAACTTAGCAACCAGTTAGATAGCCTTGCGTTGAAGGTTGCTCAATTTAGTGATGGCAAATACAGAACGGTTGACGTTAATAACATATTATTAGAACCGAGCCATACATTAAATGTATGCACATCTTTATTAGAGCAGAAATCGTATAAATCGCTAGTTGACTTCGATAATCACCTCGACAATGTATCGCTGGATTGGATTAATAATGCTATCAATGAAGAAATTGAAGAAATCATGTAGATTTTTACATGTAACTTGTTGTAATATTAAATTCGATGGTTACGTTAAATGTTAAATTTTCCTATTCTATAATTAAGTTACTTGTGTTGGTACATAGTACGTATTCTGTTGAGAGTTGATGTTCCAATGGGTAACAAAGTATTTTGTTTTTATGCTTAAAAGTATTATAAGTGATGTTGTACCTATCTATTTTAAGTGGCTTCATTAAATTTGATTATAATGTGGACCTTTACTTTTCCATGGCTACTTTCTTGTTGGTTTATTTGTGTGTTACTCACTTGCTGTGCACATGCAAACCATTGCCGATCGTGAACGAGAAAATTCTTTTTGCCTTTTTAATGATGGAATCAAAAAAGCACTAAAAGCCAAAAATAAAATGCAAATGTTGTTGAAAAGTGTTGAAGCGTATTTTCCTCAGTAAAAAATCGCTAATATGTGGAGTTCATTTCAAAGGGCTTGATGCAAGGATTGCGTGTGCGTACCGATATATTTGAGTACTGCGCATGCGCAATGTCAAAAATTTGGTTGAACGCGGGGGGGATTACTTCTATCTCACATGGTGCTCTAATTAAAGGTCTCAACTCAACAAAAGGAACTGTTTTCTACTAACTAGCGCGGGAGCGCCCTTCTTTCTTAACCCTTATCAAAAGAGGGCAGGGGGGAGGCCTTTCGCAATTCATTTCTAACAACCATAGTTCTCCTTCTCGACCCCTTATCATGATTGGATATAATTCCTCATATCTCAAGAACAGATTGTCGGAGGAGAGTACTCACAAAGGGTGATTTGGGCGTCTGATGGAAGAAATAAGTACCTATATCCAATGGTGATATCAAAACTTTAAGAGGCAACATCTCGAAAACGTTTTGTCGAAGGAAAGTAGGTACTCACAAAGTGAAATGAATCGTCTGGACGAGGCATATCAATACCTTGAAAACGAAGTGTAAGAAAAGGGTACTCATAAAGATCAAGTTGAACGTCATTACGAAACGTATCTATTAGTAATATCATATCACTTTCAGTTCAAATATCTGCAGAACGGAGTCTAAGGAGGCACCCTCATAGTCTTGGGTAGTGAAAATGGCGGTCCCTCCTGGATAGTTTGCATACATCACAAGGAATCCAATAATTTGTGCAATGTTCCCCTTGATATTTTTCGAAGACATTATTCAATTAATATGTTTTGAATAAACAATAACACAACGTCAACCTGCAATGTGACGTCAGATTTGTAGGTTACCTTCTCAGCAATTGTTTACTTAAATTTTAAAACAAGTATGATCCAACCTGAAACATTAGACATGTTCAATTTTTACTTGCCACTTGAAGGTAGGGGCCGAGTACTACTTGAACGAGCAATGGAATACTTGAAGAAGCATTTACATGGGTAAAGTTCTTTCAAAAGTTTGCTCGATCAAGGAGTCAAGAAACTTTGTTAAAATTTCAAAAAATATCTCCATTAATAAGAAAGTTGACTCTGCGCATGCGCACATATGATTTTTTACTATATGCGATATGCTTAAATTTAGTAGAAATATCTATGGTTAACATTTCTGAAAAGTATCTCTATAAATAAGAAAGTTGATATTGCGCAGTCTGCGCATGCGCACATTAATCGACGAGAAACCTGACACTCCAAATGAGTAAAAGCATTCGCTAAATACCGATTTATTCCTAATCAGTCATGAGTTTATATACAGTTACGTATCTAAACAATTGTACCCTAGTAACATTTCATAATAATGAATGTACATTAATGGCTAGATTAATGTACTAACCTAGTATCCATTCATAGGCGCTTTCTTTCGGCTACTTCGCAATCATGATTTCAAAATCGTGATTCGTAGGATCACGTTTTACGAAAGAACGCGCGAATTTAAATCAAAGTATGGTTAAGTTTACGGAGTACACATTTGCATTCGAATTACATATTTTTTGTTTGGATTTTGAAAATAATTTAAATACAAGTGGAAGTACTTGCACGATTATGATCCTCTTCAGTTACAAATATTGACATTTGAGCAAAAATATCATTGCATTTATAGGTTAGGAATTCGTGATGATAAAACTTTTTTCTCCAACCACCTGAATAAGACGCTATTTTGTGACAGTGTTCGGTACGTAAAATTGACGTTTTGCGGATTAATCGTTTTCACCATGGCAACTGTACAAAAAGTAGATACTTTTGGCCCTAGTACCAAAAAGAAATTGACCTTGAAAGTTGGCCAATTAAAAAATTACAATCACGGAGATATGTCACATTGACATCGTTTTACATTGCAGGTTATAAGATATTTCTATACATACAAATCAAATCTTTTTGCATATAAATGCAAATAATGATGTCACCTATACGTATGTACATGTATTGAAAATGATTTACGCTGGCTATTTTTATTTAAACCATGTGTAACGTAATTTACATATTCGATGAACGTAATTTTAATACGTATACAACCCGCCGTCGCGCGTAACGCCATCTACTTCAGACCCCTTGCACTATTATCTGTCATTTTGAATTCAAAATTTTAAAAAGTTTATTGCAATTAATTTTAATTAAAAAAACTGTGGTAAGTTTTTTATTTCAATACAAAATATAACAATATTAATTGTGTATACAATAAAATGACTGAAACTGATAGCGACATGGATTGCACTCCGCCAGAGATTATAGAAACGGCAGAACATGCTACCTCAAGATTTGCTCCCTACAAAGTCGCGAGAGGTGAGAAGTAAGAAGTCAGAACGAATAGGTTATAAGCTAACCTAAAAACTAGAGTGGCATGACACGTGAGGACAAGAAAGCAGAAGTTCTTATACTAGTAGTGAAACTGTGACTGAATCTAAATTCGAATATAATTTGAAGTAAAGGGGGTTGGAGAAAAAATTTTATGTTTTATTCGTACAAAAAAATGCGTTTTCGGGACTCGGAAGGTTGCTGGACTCCGCTAACGCGTCGTCCAGCAACTATCTTCCTCGTCCCGAAAACTGACATTTTTTGTACTAATGAAACAAATAACTATTATGTTCAGTTTGTCCCACGATTTTAGCAATCATGATTATAAGATCACATTTCGAAAGAACGTGATTTGACAATCCAAACGCGTTTGGATCACAGAAAGAAAGCGCCTCATATTAAAATGTGCAAACAATGCGTTCTTGCACTGAAATCGCACTGTATTGTCATTGTAACTTAATCTATTAAATAATTGTTATCCTAACCAGACCTAACTATTCTGTTCAAGCAAGAATCTGAGATTGGATAAATATAATCAATAGATTTGCTGTTATTAACAGGTGCTTCTGTGAAAATGTCAGTAAGATCGATTCTAAAAAAAATAAGTTTAATTCTGCGCATGCGCGCGCGGATTTTCACTAGTTTTAATATAATCGATAGATTTGCCTTTATTAAAACGTGCTATACTCTCAAAATTTCGGTAAAATCGGTCAAGAAATAAGAAATTTACCGCAGTTTTTCGCAAGTCAAATACATACAATGAATCGATTTGCCTTTATTAAAAAGTGCTACTATTCAAATTTTAGTAAGGCCGGTTCACACATTCAAAATTTTCGCATTCGTGTGTGCGCAGCTTTTCTCAAGTTTAACATAAACGATTGATTTGGCTTTATCAAAAGGTGCGACCGACTGTTAACATTTCGGTGAGATCGGTCCATAAATAAGAAAGTTAGGTAGTTCTGCGAATGCGCAGAAGGATACGGCCTACCGGTCTGATGTCGCCTCAAATGGGCAAGTAATACCCCTGCCAAAAATCACACAACTTGTTCCATTAAATTTTGAGTTATAAAACAAGCCGGACAACAATGGACATTTTCTTATGATGAAAACAATACTTTACCTACCGATATATGGGTACAGAAGAGTAATAAATGAAGTACACTGACCAGGCCAAAAAAAATAATGATGGTTCCTATTACTGCAGTAGGTCAACCACCACCGGTGCCTAACGAGGCAGGAATCTGTGCATTTCATTTTCACTATAAACTAATTGAGATTTATCATGAATAGGAAAAGAAAGCGCAATAAAACAAAATTAAATAATTTTCACAAAATGGAACAATTAGAAAAACCTAATGCATTAATTATGGAACGTTACAATACCCACATACAGTACCTACACAATAAGGCATAACAGACCATTGCTGCAAAATCAAAAACACTTCCTTGACAAATTCATTATTCAGAAACTTTCCAGGAATATTTGCAAACCAATAACTGAGAAATGTCCAGTTTGTACACGATTAATGTATAAGAACAACATTCGAGATAAAGTGCTATTAAAAAAAAAACAAGCATCAGAATAAAAATCTTGCCCAACTTCCTCATAAAAATTAATGTAGCATTAATTAATTACGATTAAGCCGACATTAAAGCACATTATTTATTGGTGCTTTACACAAGATAAGATAAGAATGTAAAAATGAGCATAGTTTCCATTGGATTGTCCTCAGAGTATGATTTAAATCATCACTGGAACAAAATGTATAAAACTGCAGGTCTACTTTACGTTTTACTAGCTGCTGTATCTGCGAATTATGAAGGGTGAACACTTCGGAGATCCCTTCAGCTGGATTTACTTTAAATTTGCAGTTATAAAGTGTACAGCGTAAAGCCAGCGAATGACACTCAAATTAAAATGCTGGGAATTCTCGAAAATACGGAGAAATTAGATTTTTGGTCAAGGTTGGGATACCGAAGTAAGACTGTCGATATTATGGCGGCCCCAACAGAGCAGAAAGAGCTCACTGCATACTTAAAGAACAACAACATACAGTACGAAGTTCTTATCGATAACGTTGAAACGTGAGTCTCCCTAACCCATCCACACCAATCTCGACAAGCAATCATTTTTAGAGTCGTGCAACAGGAACACATTGAACAAAGTCTGTCCTCTCGAATATTCCGTGGTAAAATTAGCTTTTCAAAGTACAACTCTCATAGTGACGTAAGTGATATGGTATTGTGCCTTTTATGAAGCTACAGTTTTAGATTAACGGGTACCTATACCAACTAGCGCTCAATTACCCAAAGCTGGTAAAACTACAAGACATTGGGAGAAGCTACGAAAAAAGAAATATGGTCGTAATTCAGATCTCGTTAACTCCCTCCGCGAATAATCCCATCATATTTATTGACGCAGGTATTCACGCTCGTGAATGGATATCCATTGCTCAAGCACTTTACATCATATACGAGCTCGTCGAGAATCCCGCAAACAAAGATCTACTGGCCGATGTGGATTGGCATATTCTTCCTGTTGTGAATCCAGATGGATACGAGTATTCCCAAAAGGTAAGTTGTTATTTTGACACTGAGAGGGAAACCACTCACTCTAACTTTATACACGTATTACGTGCGCATTGCTACATTGAACTGTTCAAATTTATATTAAGAAAGCAATAGCATGATTCGATTTTGCTCCAGTATAGAACCCTGTTTTCCAATTAAACCAGCATTTTAACTAAAGGATTCTGAAAATCTAATAGGTATTGTCAGTACACAGCAAATATCACTATGTATACCTACTTAAATGTACCTTTCATTTAGGTCCAAAGCCAAGATTATTTTATGTTTTCCTATATGGAGTATGGTATTCGAGTTATGGTAAAAAGTTGTAATATAACACATAACTTTTGAACTAGTAGCCCAATCTTGGAACTGTTTGAAATTATGGATTCTACAGGCCACATTCTATAAGAAAATTTTTTTTCCGGGTCGATCTGAGACAATTTTTTTTTCGGGCTCAAAAAAAGGCAGTGTATAAACCTTCCTTTTTTACCAAAAATCGACTGCACCAAAATTTCTCGGGAAAACACTTTTTCTTATTAATTTTGGTGCGTAGAATCCAAAACAATTCGTACTTTTTCGATCAGACTTCTCAACCAAAAGTTATAGACTAGAACCCAATTTCGAAAGAAAACTAAAAGGACTGTAACTTTTGAACTAGTGTATTATACTATGCTATTATTATGTATAAGTACTTGGAAAACGGGCAGTATAATCTAAAGACATGATTTAATAGAAAAGTAACTTCTATCCTTTGCATATTTTAGATATTTCGAATCATAATAAGTCAGATATCTTTGAAAAATTTGGCAATCGCGCAATTTCTAAAAATTGCCCCATTTTCTTGCATTTTCCAACAAAGTTGGGTGCACTATTGCAGTCACTTTCTCTGTTGTTGCACTACTCTTACAGTTTTCATATTTAGTTCGTTCTTTTTGCATTCGGTCGCTTAATAGATCTGACAACCTGAGTCAAGCGAATCTTAACTATTAATGTGCGCATGCGCAATGTCAACTTTATTATTTATAGACATTTTTTTTTTATTTTAACCACAAATACTTCTAGTAAAGACAAGCACATTGCATATACTAGAAATCATGCATGCGCAAACTGCACAATGCCACCTTTTTATTTATTTTTTGAAATTTTAACCGCAGATGCTTTTAGTAAAGGCAGACATATACATAATATAAAAAGTAAATATATAAATGTCAACCTTTTCTTCACAACAAAAGAACGTTTTATTTTTCCAAAGCACTCTTCTCAAAAAATTAAAAATTGTATTTTTAGGAAAAATGTGATACTGAACCACCATGTGTGATATATCGTTGTAAAGAGAAAAAAAGACGTAATCTCAAAATGGCGCCCGTAAGAAAAACTAAAGTTGCCACGTGTTTCTCCGTCATCTTGAAAGTAATTAAAAACAGGATGCCATATTTGAAATCCCCATTAAAAAGTGTCCTAATAATGTGTTAATTAGAAATGTCTACTACGATTAGTTTATCATAAAAAAATTAAAAACGAAAATCATAAATTTTGTTTTTTTTGCGATATCTTCAAAACTATTGAAGATATTTCAAATTTCTTTTCAGATTCTTATTCAGCACGAAAATTAGCAACTTTGCCCCCATTTAACCAACTTTCTATCCCTTAAGATAAGTGAGATCCCCATAGTGGCGCTCGAAAAATGGACACCATGTATAATATATTAACTTTTATCGTAACGATGCTTGTCTTGCTAGTGCCCTTACCCTTGCTTGCTTGCTATAGCCTTTCGGGAAGTACCTACTGATCTGTGCATGGAAAATGCCCTCAAGTTTCAAAAATGTCTCATTATTAAACATATCGAAAAGGACATAAATAAGGAATCGAAGTTATCCATAATCAGGTTTGTAATGTAAAATTTGAGTACAAATGGCTTCTATTCCCTATTTTCTGAGGTTGTTTCGATATGTATTTTAAAAAATGTGAGATATCTTCCACGAATTGAAGGAATTGTGAAATTGCGCAGTTGCCACATTATAGTAGCGCGAGATAAGTCAATACGAGCAAACGCAACACAGTTTCTTATGCCATGTATAGTTTTATTTTTTATGAATTATTGATCCTTTTTTCTGTATTTTTGTTTATCAAGGATAGTGCAAATTGCTTTGATTGTTTAATGATTTGTAGCTACAGTATCAAGGTTGTGATTATTAGTGAATTGAGAGTGGTTGTCAATGTTTTGTATCCAGAATTTCATTTTCTTTTAAAACATGTAACATTATACTGAGTGTTCTATTAAGAAAATGCGATTTTGTTAAATATCTTGAAAACCTGATGTTCAATTGTTTTTGTTTTATTTCACCATTTTAATCCTAAGAAAAAAATTCTTCATATCTGGTAATTTAACTGATTTCATATCCAATAATTAGAAAGTTCACAATAATGCTGGTACTGGTTTGAACACACTGTATACTTAAGGCCTATTTTCAAACAAAGGGACACTATACACCTCTAACTTAGAGCAAAATATACAGTGAGTTTTTTTTAATGCGAACATACGCTTTTCTACGCAATGTAATTTCCCTATGTTCGATTTAAAAAAAATGCATCAATCTATGAGGTGTGCGCGATTCACATTCCCACCAGCAAAACGCGCGACTTGCGCAACGGTTTCTATGGTCTTCACGATGAAGAGCACTCGGTCCAATAGAAAAATTTTTGGAAGCGATAAAACAACGCCCATTTTTTCCAACTTTTCTAAAATACTGAGTTAACCTTTTGTTAATGTGTTGTGGCTCCTAAAGGAACGATAAAATTCACTACCCCTCCTCCCTAAATATTGTAGAATATCAATCGGTTCAAAAAGTACCAACAATTTAAAATTGGACCAATTTTTGAAATTCGTTGGAAAAAAATGGGCGTTTTTTGATCGCTTGTAAAAATTGTTCTATTGCACCGATTTTGTTTTCTTTAATTTACTACAGAAGTGTTATTCATAAAATATGGACCGTTTTCGAGTTTTAAGCGAAACACTGAAAAAATGCCAAACATTATGAGGTTTTCTGGCTGTCAAAAGTTGTGCCGGGAAAAAATTTGTGTGCACTCTTCAATTACATGTTATTTGGACCCAAATGGACCATTTCAATAATAAGGGAAATTACATTCCATGCAAAATCCTAATGTTCGCATTTAAAAAAATTCACTGTATAGGTAATGACTTGTACACATAAGTGGTTTCTCCCTCGTGTTAGACTTTTGATTCGATCTAATTTGTGCTTTCAGACTGGAAACAGACTGTGGCGAAAGACACGGTCTCCACAGGATACCTGCGTCGGAACCGATGGTAATCGCAACTTTGACCATTATTGGGGATTAAATGGGGCAAGCAGCAACCCTTGCGCCAGTAATTACAAAGGTCCGAAACCTTTCTCCGAAGTAGAAACACAAAATCTTCGCGATTACCTTTTGAAAATTAAGAATAACGCTAAATTATACCTTACATTCCACAGCTACGGAAAATACATTTTATTCCCGTGGGGTTACACCTCCGAGCTACCCCATGACGAATTTGAGCTTCGCACACTCGGAAAAGAAGTAAGCGATGCCATTGTCAAAGCCGGCGGTCCTGCTTACACAGTCGGTACCTCCACAAACGTACTTTATGGGGCTGCCGGCGGCAGCGATGATTGGGTAAAGGGGGTCGCAGGAATCGAACTTGCTTATACGATCGAACTTCCCGGCGGAGGAAGGATTGGTTTTGATTTACCTGGAGACGCCATTCTGGATGTGGTCAATCAAACTTTCGCCGGTGTAGTTGTTTATGGCAAATATGTGTCGGTGAAATATCAAAATGTGTGGAGGTTCCCACAAAATTAAAGCGTTTTATTATCTGAATTATAAATACATTTAGTCATCATCGTTATCCTCCTCAATTTCCTCTTCACCTCCTTCTGCGCTTTTATTGACGGTGCTTTTATCCTTCTTTTTGTGTTCCTCCTTATATTCTAGCAACAAAGGATGTCAGTGTTATAATTTACCCGGACTGAAAGTAAAGTAACTACCTTGAAGATGCAATTGAAGTGGCTCGACAAGTTCACCAAAATCTAAATTTTTGAGTGCTTCAAATACATCTTCGGCTAATAATGTTTTACGGTTGACTTTTTGAGCTACTTGCGAGGAGTGTGATGTTACATAAAGAACAAAAACTGCAGCCGCACGAGCCAAAGCTATTCTAGCTTCTTTGCCTATATTTACGTTTTCATTGATTGATTCCTTCACTATTCTTTGCACTACACTTAATGGTAAATTAAAATCTTCGAGTTTTTCTGCCATGCTTGCGTAAATAAATTAAATTTGTACAAAATTTACAAGATTGTTTACAATGATCATTGAGTTAACAATGATTTATAACATAACCTAGAAATAATTTATAAAAGCGCGGAAGAAACAACAAAGGTTATGTTCTGTGATTCTTAATTGACATGGCAACGTGGCAACCTATTGTTATCACAAAGACCACTCAGTACAGGGTGTTTACTCAGTTTGCCCATGGTAATATTCTTTGATTATATAATCAAAGGTAATATTGTTATCACTACTTTCTAATTAAATTGAATACTTACAATTAAAGTGTACACAAAACTGACTCAAATTACCCCATCATTAATGCATTTTTGATATGTATTATTATATAAAGCAATAAAAAACCACAGTGGGTGAAACTTTTTTTGTAAAGTATGCGTTTAAAGAAGTATTCAAAAATTCATTTAGAAAAACTATTTCGATAAGAATTACTTACATCATTTCTAGAGGTTTTATTAAAAAACACGGATAGAATAAACTACAAAGCTCCTAAAAGGGTCTATATGGCAGCCTTAATTTTGTAAAACATGAGATTGCCCTAGAACGCACTTATAAAACTTTCTAATCTTTACCTGGGTACTGTACTGGAGTTTACTTAGCGAAAACCAAGGAGAGGAATCTCTGAATGGCAAGACTCTCGAAAAAACGTAAGGGCCTCAAATGTACTAAAATGATACTTACCGAAATCAATGGAGTTGTTGGAGTGTCGTAAGTGGTTCTAGCGCGTTCCAAAGACGGTCGTCAAACAAAGTTTTGCATATTTTTGCCATAGCCTTTTTAGGCTGATATAAGGACTTTTACGATTTTCTAGAACTAACTGGGCCATCCTAGATATGAGAAGAGTCTGGGGACCTTTGAGATAGGCTTAGGAAACTCTAGATAGGGTTTAAGGGGTACTTGAGATACGCTGCAAAGTACTAGAGCCCTACGAAAAGCACCAACAGGTCTAAGGTGCTTTTCTGAGTTTTGTAAATATTTTACAGTTGATTGAATAAACAAAACCTAAACACAGTTTCTTTCTCTAAGCACAGTTTTATGCACCAAGAATATGGTCGCCACACAAAAAGTTGCTTCATCACGCAACATTGCCCTTAATGGGATATTATCCTATGAGTAAAAAATAATTTACTCGTAGATATTATCAGTCCGCGTCTTCCATAGTTTAAAGCTTAATTTTAAACAGAAAATATTTGTTGAATGGTCTATGTTAGCTAGAGTAAGTGTCCACATGCTCTGGACCTCCATCGACCCCATGCGTTTTCGAGATCTTTATGTAGTAAAAGGAGAGCACCCTATCGTGTTTGTACGTCAGAAATGGAGGAAGATTTTATTTACATGGGAAACAATCAACAAGAAGTGACCGCCGGTCTATTAATAATCGTCGAGCTGGTGCTTACATTTTGAACACACTGTATACGCATAATTGTTTATCAAAAACGATTAGAATTTCCAATTTCCATGGGAAATGTTGACTCCGGTGTGATATAAACAACTTCCTATACACTTTATTTTTTCAAAAGAATTTGGTAGATGTTTTAGAATGTAGGCCAACTTTTTGTAAACTTGGCAACGTGGTTATTCTCAAAAATCATTATTTTGGAAATTAGGGTTTAATATTTATATTAGTTTTAGTAGTTTCAATTCAATTAACGAGAGCTGGTGCCTTTTTTAATCTACTGTGATATTAATTTTAAGTTTTTGCCAAAGATGTTCCGAAGAAATAAAAAGGAGAATAAAGCGAAACTCGAACATAAACTTTATTTAGTAAGTCTCTAAAGGCGAATCCTCATAATATTTGGTCTTTTGTAGGCGAGAGAAAATCCAGAACCAATATTCGACGTGTCCGATTGCGGTATACGTGAAGTGCCATCGGGAATTTATTCTCTATGTAAGGTGTTTTTAAAGCAATCTTTACATCTCGAGCACAACCACCTGTCCTCACTGTCGGGTGGTGGTAACCTGAAAGACTTGTGCTTTTTACAAGTCTTGGATTTACACGACAATGCTTTTGTACACATTCCATTAGAAATAGGACACTTAGTTAATTTATTGGTGCGCTTGAATTTTGATCGACTAGTTCACTAATTGCGAAGTTTCAGGAATTATATTTAAACGACAATCAAATTAAAATGTTACCGGCTTCCGTTTGTGAATTAAAGAAATTGAAACTGTTAGACTTGTCTAATAATGCGTTGAAAGAACTGCCCCCAAATTTCGGCAATTTGCTCAATTTGCGTAAATTGAACGTTTTGGGAAACAAGAGTTTGAAACAGTTACCAAAAAGTCTATGTTCCTGTAAAAGACTAAGTGAAATATTAGTTGACTCTTCACATTTTGTTTATCCTCCAGCCGATGTGTGTGAAGATGGGGCTGAGTCGATAATGAAGCACATTTGCAAAGGTAGGTAGTAATTATCGGTTGACACCGAAGCGAGCGCTTGCCAATATGTTTGCAGATAATGGCATAGAATATGTACCACCAGATGCTTTATGTGAAGGTCAAGATGTTGAAGAGAAAGACACTGTGGATGCATATGAAGATAGTTTCAAGGTAATAACACACTTAAATGACCCAGTGAAAAGTTGAACTAATCCACACTCATAAAAAAATCCAAAAAATCGTTGTTTATTTGTTCATGTTTGTTCTGGAATCTGGAGTAAACTGCGTATTGTAGGTAATCTACTCCTCAGTGGCTAAAAAAGTCATTTGTAATTGAAATAAAATTAAGTGGATGCTTAATTAGTCATTTGATTGGTCGTAGGATATTTACTTCTGTTTTTTGCATAATATGCTATTTTTATGTAAAACTAGTCATTCTCTCCGTAAATGAGTAAGTGTAGTGGCGTGGAAGCAATATGGATGTAGCAATAAACTGCTGACAAATTCCCATAAAATGCAATGCCTCTTATAATGGGTTTAGTTACATTTACAAGGGTTGAAAATCTCACTTGCATAAATTAAAACTGGACCTCAATGTGAAAATTAATTTTTATTTTACCCACGGCTAGCTCAGTAATGAAAATGATTTTATACCCCTTACTTTGAGAAAGTTTGACCCTTATTGAACCCGAATTAATACACATATGACTTTAACTCGGACTTTAATTGATTAAATATATGAATAGACACAAAGACGACCAAGTTTCGTTTTTCTTTGTACGTTCTTCGATGTAAGTTATACGAGTTTGATTCATAAAAAGAAATGCCATACCCTCGGCCATGCCTATTCCATGATCAATGACGAAAAATAACCAAAATCCTTTGTTTGGACTCGATTCTTATTCAACAATAGAAAAATTCACGACCTAATCCAGCTTAGAATTTAATTTTTAACGCACCCAAATAGTACGTTTTGACTTGCTATTTAAATCTCACCAGTTAGAACATCTGACACGACCTATTTTTTTTAACGAAACAATCTTGACTCGCTTACCTTCTTAAATGAATAGGAAACCCGCATTTCATCACGTGCTCTGGTTTTTCACAAAACGGAACCAAACTGTTAGGTAGGAAGAGATCGTGCCACCGGACTCGCTTTTCACAATACGTTTCTTGATATCGCTTGTTATCACCAGACATATTTTTGTTAATGTTCGCTATGAATGAATACATGTGTACATTTTTATATGCTGAACAAAATACAAATACTTTTTCATTCTAAAGCGGCCACCCAGTGCACTTTTCATTGAGTAAATAAAAGGATTAGTTTTTGTGCATGTTTTGAAACTAAAAAAGTAATCAAAACTCGATTCTGAAATGGCATTTTATGAATTCGTCAGAAATAATAATTTTGCTGCGGGCCAACAAAATTGCCCAAAAAATGATAGTAGTTAAAAATTTGTATAGGACCTTTGAGTGAAGGAATCGAGATAGAGGCGCAGTGCCTATACTTGAAATCGTCGCGAACGTAGGATCTGTCCACAATCAACTACAAAAAAACTATTACAGGCATGAAACCAATGTATTTTGCAGTAGGTACCGAGGGTAGTTTCGAAGCTGACGTTTCCCTTAAATTTTACCCATGCTCAGTCGCTTGGTTCAAAAACATCAAGGAGTTCGATATCTGAAGGCAGATGTGAGTCGAAGTTATTTAAACAAACATTATTCCACGTGCGGGCGTTACCAGTGGAGCGTGAAAAATAGTCGTTATACGATTTTTTGGGAGGTAATTTTTTCCACAGCTTCTTCAGCAAGAATATTCATTTCTGCGTCTTTTTTTTCATGAGAAACTGGCATACATTTATGCCATATCAATAGTGATGAGATACAATGAACCTTGAACAAACAATATTCTTTCCTTGAAATTTGCATTTTCACATTGTTGCCATTCATTGCCAAAGTACAATGTCAATGTTAACAACCTGACGATTAAAATTGAAAGGGACACCATTTATTTAGCAGTTTACATAATTGACATACAAACAGTTTTACTGAGACCCCCCCCCCCTTCCTTCTAATTTGGGAAATTTTTCGCAAATTAGATCAATCGCCGTTCTCAAGCACATTCTTCTCCGGAGGTGATATTTGAGGAAACAGCAATTCTCAATATATCCCAAGAAAATTTGTTGTCCAATGATAACAACAAATTCAGATTCATCCACTGCTGATGGTGAAATTTGAAGGCGCACACATATTGGGGTTTTTCAGGCTGCTTTCCCACTTTCAACCGCGGCAACGGCGACAACCCTGGGGAATAAAAGACGTCCCATCCCTTATTCTCTTCAAACGGGACCGTTTTTGAGCGTCTCAAAAAATGCAAAACCATTCATAATACGTAATACTAAAATACTTCTTGTCACTACTTCTTTTCGACGGCAGTAAGATCATCTCATGTGTAAAGCCGCATAATGTAGAGTTCGCTTCTACATTCTGTGGTTGTCACGCGTGACGCTCGGCAGTCGAGGGCGAGCTCGGCCCGCTCGCCTGGTTCATAATTGTTTAAAACGCATTTGAAAAGACATTGGCTAATATACACACATTTATAGCACCGTATGAGTAGATCAGTTGTAAGCTCGCAGTTTCTCGCTTTACAACGGTCGATGACGCGGGTTGGGACCCAAGCGCGCTCTTTTTTTCTATAATACATCGCAGCGAGATCAAAAGAATTTTTTTGTTTCAGATGACACGATAACATTTAAACAATAAAATAATACGCAATTACAAACAATTAAAAAAGAAAACATAGGCACTGAGATAACAAATTCAACTAAAATAAACCAACCATCAAAATGAAATATTCTCATATACAGGTGTGCCGTCATTATTTTTGGCGTTGACTCCTTGACTCACCTTGACAAATAGATAATTGAAAAATTAAGAATTTATGTGACAGCACGTTACATCCAAAGACAGTGAAAATACAATCATTAATCATTCTCACTTACCGCTAGATTATAGAAATTTAGGGTAGTGAAATTTTTATTTGTTAACGCTCTATTAACTGCTATATATGTTTAGCTAATTTAGAATTTCTGTTTCTAGGCTAAAATATGGAAGCTTGAAAAAATTAAGGCATGTTAATTTTCTTTTTACCTGGAATGCGATCGTGGTGAAGTAGTTTTTTTTCTTTTTTTTATTTTAAATTGTATAATATTTTTCAAACAATTAAGCTTACTGTTACACGAAAGTCGTTAGGGTGCATGAGTGTGGTTAGAGTAGAGGCACTTGAGCCAAATAAAACACAGACTGCTGACAATTCGCGATTCAGATTAACAGTGAAACCTCTGGTGGCAGCATATAATTACTATTGGTGGAATAAGACCGCCATTTTGTTTATTTACAATGGTCAAAGGTAGTCAATATCGTAGTTTTTATGACCGTATCAATATAATTACACCTTAAAGAGCAAGGGTAGTTTGAAACGACCATTTTATCACGTCAAGAATTTTAAATGTGATCAGTGCAATTATGTAACTGACAATAAGAATAATTTAAGAAATCATCGTCTAAGTTAATATTTCCAAAGTCTTTAATTGTGAACAGTGCAATTACATAAAAAAATAGGAGATATATGTCATTCTTCGACATACTCCGCTTTGAATATCACTTTCTATCACTGCTATCATACTGCTATCAGTGTAACGACGCTACAATTAAGCGCTCGCTTAAAATGTCTCCTATTAACAGACAACCTTCTCAAACGTTTAATTTGTAATTGCATTACTCACGATAAACAAAACTTAAAGCGGCCTAATTCACATTGAAGGATGTTACGTGCACTCTGTGCGATTAGGTATGCCATAAAGAGTGAAGCACGACAATTCGATTGCTTAAATTGTGGTCAGTGTAATTGTGCTACGAATAGTAAAGATGTTTTTAAAGAATAATCAACGTAAGGGACTGTCGGCGAGTTGTATAAGTGCGCTAGAAATTGAATTATGAACTGTGATCTTTATTTGTAATTAGAAAATTAAGTTTATTGCTCAAGAGAGCCTCGAGTTTTAAAGAAAGAATTAATAACCCAATGTATACAAATCGCTCCCACCAATATACGCCATTTCATTTGTAAAGTACATCAGCGCCTCTAGTGTTACCTAATCTGAATCGCGAATAGAGTTTGACAACAAAATGGCTTCCCTTCCGAAATTCCTAATGAGAGAGTTCAAATTGAACTATAAAGTAATACTGAATACTGGCATCCCCGCGCACGAGCAGTTTACGGTGAACTTGTTCTACTATGCTGCTGAGTGCTGAAAGCCAAATTGTATTTAAAGTCATGTTTATTTACCTACTGGCTATAGCAGAATTCTTAACGAAGGGCAAGAACCCTTTGTTAACTTTTAACTGATCAAAACCAACGCACACGCACACGTTTTACACAATATTATATCAGTACAAATAAGTACAATCTAATTTTAATGAATCTTTTAGCTAAAGTGTACACGCATTTTAAAGGCTCAAAGACATTTTGGTGTTTGAGTTGAGCTAAACTTTTGTGATCAGTAAGCTTCATTTTCTCACATTGCGCTTTTTTATTATCACAAAACGTATTTGCACTACCTCTACTAATATTTTTATTACTTCAATTGCATAATTTCTGATTGGAGAAATAATATACTACTTATTGTAGGAACAAAGACTACAAGATTTTTTAGAAATAGAAAAACAAAATGAACTGCTACATAAACAAGAATTTGAAGTGGCAGTCGCCATGAAAGCCAATCGCGAAAAGGTAAGCGGAAACCCCGATTTGCGCCGTTGTAATCTTTCTCGGTTCAGCTGTTGACGGATATTTCGCAACAACAGGCGAAACTGGACTCGAAATTGGCAAAAGTGCAACAGTTGCGGGACACTGAAAGATTTCGATTAATCGAACAGCTTCAGGAATGTAAGATTTTAACGCGAGTACTCGTGAAATATCGATTTTTGCAGATGAGCACAACGCTGATTTTGCGATAAGTCAACTGCTGGCGATCAACAAAGAACCGCTAACGCAGCTCTTGGAGCAGGAAAGATTGGAGGAGGAGCGTTTGTTGGCGGCCACCGCGAACCAGTACAACGAGAATCTTCACAAACAAGACGTGCTCATGGCAATGCAAGAGCTTCTAGAGCAGGAAACGCTCAAGTTTACGGAATACAGTGAAAGCCGGTTTGAGACCGCGAAAAGTATTTTACAACAGTAAGTCACTCCCCTTCGCTTCCGATGATATCTCAACTTTCGACAGAGAAACTCTGACCGACTCTCACCTATTGGACGTGCTGCAAAACCAAGGTCTTCATAAGGCGGAGTTAATTTTGCAACTTCAGGGTGATGTCGATTTGCAAAAAGCGGCTGTTGGCGCCCTGCTCGAGAGGAGCGACGCTCGAAGTTGGGGGCTTGTCCAGCAAGTGCGAATGGTCGAGTCACAATTAGCGGCGTTGACCAGTATCGAGTTGAAAAGGCGCAAATTAAAGTTAGACGAACATGTGGTGGGTAAGTGTCCGGAAGACATCGTTTTTCAGTTGGCAATTACAGAACGATCTCGATGTTAAACGAGTAGAGCTGTCGATGATGCTAATGTCCTTACTTCAACTTCAAGCCGAAAGACGTTCTCAGCTCTTATCCACTTTAAAAACAATGGAAGAAAGGCGGAGCGTGGAAGATTTTTGGCTGTGTCAGTACCAAACTTTACTGAACAGGTATTCGAGTTTGTTGTCGGCATGTCGTAAAGCTTTCTTTGCAGAATTCCAACTTCTATATCAGAGGCGCAGAGAAACATTGATCCTAGGTTGGGCTCCTGCCTACTTATGTGTGGGGCGTTGCATTGTTTGCCATTTTTAGCCTACATAACGCAAACTGAAGGTAGGTGCAATACCAAATACCATGTTGGAGACTTCTTTGGACTTGCGTGGAATCCTTTACAATCAGTAATCAAATATTTCTTCCTTTTGTGTCTTGGAATTTCCGGTTGGTACGTTCGTTCTTTATTCGAGCTTTAAAAACTTGGCACATCGCCCCAAAAAAAAAGCTTGATAGTGAAGGCCCAAGCCAAAATTGGTGTGGGTTTTTCAACTTGAAAATAAAAATTCCCAAATCATTCCAACAGCAATTCTGGGCCGAATTTAAATCTATGGCACTTTTTTTAGTGTAACGCGTCACGAGGAGTTCGTTGAACATTAGAATTCAGAAATCTTGCTTCTGCGCGTCAAAATAATTTGAAATCTTACGATTTTCACGGTGGCTTCCCCTTAATAAATTCGTGTTTTCATGTTCAAAGAAACCTAGGTACCAAAATATTAGTCAAAATCAGAATTCCGTCCTCACTGTTGACCAGGGATCAATTCTTGCAAAATCGGAAACAACGTACCCAAACAAAACCGAAATGAAGTCACTTTTCTTCCTTCTATGTGTTATGGTTACTGAGGAAAAAAGGAACACAAATTTTAGGACTTTTGGGGATGTGGCTCCCAAACCAGACATTTTTGCCCTCAGTTTATTTGGTAAAAATGTTTGTTTTGGTCCCCTTTACTGCCCAATTTGTTGACACGCATAAGTGTATGCGTTAAAAAAAAACCAGGAAGCCCTGAGAGTTTTTTCCTCAAAAAATTATTTCTGCTATGAATGTGGTAAGTAGTCATACAAGACCGAGTGTAGGTCAGTTCAAGGTCTTTCATCTCCCACCTTGGAAAGCAGGTTCTACTATACTTACTCCCATCTTCTTACACTCCACACTATGATTGCAGGGTTTGATGAAGTGAAAGCGTCTAAATATCGTAATCAAATTGACAAATTCCTTAAAACCTTAAACAAACAGAGTTCATTGTATTGGAAAAAAAAAGAAAACCTACAGTGTTTGGTAACTAGTCTCTCAGGAAGCATCCCACTGCAACCAAATGTCACTAGTGTAAACTGTACGGTGCATAAGATTGTAATTTTTAAATTCACAACAGGTGATGTATCAAATATAATGGAAGAGGATCTGGAAAAGGCGGGCGTCACCAACGACAACGACCGAAGAAATATTTTGGAAGCCTTCCACCTCTACATGAAGGAGCAAGCATCCTCATCCTATGTCAACACGGCGCCTTCCGCTCCGTTACTGGAGTCGCAAGACTCCGCAAGTGGGTTAACGGTAACCGCAAGCGAAAATGAGTGTGTGGTTTGCATGGACACCACTGTAAGTATTGCACCACATTCTCCAGGTTTGTTCAGAGAATTTTTTTAGTGCGATATTATTTTTGTACCATGTGGACATCTGTGTTGTTGCGTCAACTGCTCCAATCCATTGGAAGATTGTCCCATGTGCAGAATAACGATCGAACGCAAAATTAAAGTGTACACCAATTGATCATATGGCGGATGACAACATTGTCAGAGTATTTCGGTTCTTCCCTATTTTTAGGCTTGCGCAGCAATAAATGCCTCATGTTAAAAATGATATGCCTTCTTTAAATACTCGGTCCGTTACTGCTTTCATGAGAGTTTTACTATGAAATGATGTGCAATAAATTCGATTTGAGCGCTTTACACATTAAGCACTGTTTGACACATTATACACTTTTTATAAATCTATGTGAGTTACCAATTATTGAAATGTAACTGTTGCTGCAGTACAGCGTGGTTAAAAAGTCAATACTATCAATGCGGGTTCTATTCACTTTCACCATGTGCTTCAATTTGATACTCGGCTGCATGGTAAAAAAAACTGCAGCAAAAATGTTTTGCTGACGGCCAATTTACCCAATATTTTCTTTGATACTTTAGTTTTCTAAAATCGGGTCAGATACAAATTGAAGTACAAATGATAAAGTTCTTAAAATACCTATAATAAAAAGACAAACCGTCTTGGAATAAATCATCTCTTCAATTATTAAATGTGAAAATATGAGATTTAGTTACAGTCGAGGTTATAGTTTCACGTAAATTTTTCCAAGCACAATAGTTTCATTTAAAATGGGTATGTACCTAATGTGATGAAATTTCTATCTAAATTGACACTTTTTTTTCTTTCATGAACATTCCAAATCACTTTCTGTAATGTGAAAGTAGCTCAATTTACATTGAAAAAACCTTTAAAAAATTGAAGAGTTCTTTTATGGGAGACACATACATATATTTAAATTATATTTCAAATTTCATGTAATTTTTGTAGCGTAGCAATGTGCCATGGTTTCGGATTTTAAATGTTTTCTCATTATTGAAAATAAAATAAATTTATTACTCTGATTAATTATGTCATTTAATCAAAAGCTATACGGTTCATATAGGTAAGTAGCGCTTTGGGTAAAATGGGTCGGAAAAATTAACTTTGGAAAAAATATGGATTTCGCACATCATTATAGGTCTGCATGATTTGTGATTCTGACATCGCAATGTGTGAAGGAGCATTAATTTCGATTTCGATGCTCCTTCATCTCGTGCGGGCTGCAGCACTTGTGTCTTAGCATATACAAGAAGGGGGGTCCTCTAATTTGATGTCTCTGATGAGTCGTTTCACTATTTCCGCGAAGGAAGTACCTAATCCAGTCCGATCCTTCGCTAAACATTTGTTACTTGCTTACTTGTGCCCGCTGCCGGATGGTGCGTAGGCAATCCGAGAGGGCGTCCTCTAATTACATGGTTTTGCTTGTGCGATAAGGGACTTTAACATGACTACTGACCTCTGACATGTACTTGTTGGGTATAAATTAATTGAAGTCAATACTGGAGTAGAGGTATATACTTTTGGCCTATTGTTTTTTATACATGCAATTTATCATTTTTCGAGTTGTTTTGTCTAAATTGATCGTAGATATATTTAATGTGTGGTATTTTCCACTTGTGTTTCGTTCTTGTTGATTTGCCCGATACTTGATTGTTATTGTACGATTTGAGATGTTTGATTTGTACATTTTTCTCTTTTGCCTTTTGTTGTCGTAGTCGATTTATTTTTGTGTTTGTGTGGGTTATGGTAGGTTTTTTGTCCACAAAAGGTTTTCCTGATATCGCCTTGTTATGTGCGTAATATATTGTATTTATTCTTGTTTTTTCTTACGCACAAAATTCTGCGTGTTATTCAATTCCATTGCCGATTATGTGTCTCACGTTCCAACACATTGAATAACCCCCTAGGCTACCCAGCGTAGTGCCACGAACTTCACGGTAGTGGGTACGTCCTCGCCCAACTGGCACGAAAAATTAAATAAGCATTAGCGGAATAATGATTTACAAGACAAATATAATGAAATTTGCACAAAATCTCGCGAGCGCGGACGAAAGTAGCGGCAATCACTAACCTGGGTGTTCTGCTGGCGACACGGACGGACGGACCCAAGCGCCACCAAGGATGCGACCTTGCCCCATGGTCAAGGTCGATGGTAGCAACGGCTTGGCGGATCGGTCTCGCAAACCTCTGGCAAACTCAAATAGAGCAAACGGCAGGTCTGGAAATTCTAAAGGCCCAGCGCCGGCCGGCTGCTGATGAATGCTAAAACAAAATTAAAGCACACGGCGATTTCCCTAAGCGGGCGGAATAGTAAATTAATCGGATTCGGTAGCGGTATCTACGGGAAAACAAATGCAGTAAAGCAAAACATCCTCCCCTTATAATTAATGAACTGAAAAGTAACTTACCTTGTAATGGAACGGAGCGGTAGAAATTACTGTGCACGAAAAATGTGAAAGCAAAAAGTAAACGGTATGAATGCAAGCTAAATTTACGATAAAGCTCAAAATTACGGTACTTACAAAACGTAGCTTGCTAAAGTGCACAATCCATAAAAATCGTCGATTTAAATATGGTAGTTTCCAAAGTAAATTTATCGTAATTACCTTGCAAAAAGTGCAATGTACAGAAAGATCCCCTCTAAACAACTGCTTTACCTTTTATAAAATTCGCCTATGTCCTGGAGGGAACGGCGGTTTTTCTAGCCGACACAGCGTATTCGATTATCTACATCTAAAAATTAAAACTTCTTTAATTAATTACGTCCTAAAAATCTGTAATCAATTAAAGAGCGCTTCTTTTGATACCCCACACGACTATATGGAATTACGTTTTCCGAAACACATTTATTTAGCTACTGCTAATTGCACGGATTGAAAACCGGTAGTCCAACTAACACCTATTGTTATTTGCAATTCCTCAGGTGGACATAAAGGTCACTAATCAATTCTGTAGCGGCGTCAACCTACATAGTCTTGCAGTTTTAATGCTTGTTTTAATTTACCATAAGAGACGATTCTAAAATATTAATTCGCCCTCTTCTTCTATATGACAAAAGCTTTCGGACGCAACAAAAACAATTGAAATATCTTGACGGGAACGGTTACAAAAGGCGAATTAATTGCACTTATTTACGAGTGGCGGCCGAAACAACTCTAGAAATTAAATAATACTTTTGAAGCATAATTACATTGGGTAACATCCTTAGAATTGCGAGATAAAAATGTTATCTGTGAGGTTGGTATCGTTATTACTACCTACATTTTCTACTTATACTATTCTTTTATATGGCAAGGTCAAATATTAAAATTAACTTTACTGACATAAGTTTATTATATAACAATTAAATAGCAATTTTTATATATTAGTGCAATCTGTACAAATACAAACGTAACAATACGTATGTACCCAAAAATAACAAAATAAAAAACTATACACAAGCTTATTTAAGTTAATACCTACTGCATGATCTGCTCTGTTTTGAAATGTCAGTTTGACTTAATTAAGTCGGTACTAGGAGTTTTAAATTTTTGAGCCCAAACCGATTTCAATAATTCGTTGCCTTCTCTGCAAAATTTAAAACATCATTATAATTAAAAACGTTTTAGCAAATATTCTACGAAAAGTTAACTCTTGTATGTGGTGCAGGAATATCACATTAACGACATCTAATAGTTACACCTCGACACGGCAATTTACAGCGGATATAGATTAACAGAAATGGGAATGTTGATTTTGGGTGTTTTCTTAGCATAATCCACCTTCAAATTCCTCGTCGCTTTCATCCTTCGCCGTCTTCGATTCTGTTTTCAAGTCGTCCATTTTATCGTTTACTTCTTGTATGTCATTCTGAATAAGTACATGAAAAAAATAGTCATTAAAATTGTCTCACTGTTTTTTTACACTAAGCAATCAGTTTCAGATGCAAAGCAGACCTAAGAATCCTAGCTTAAACAATTTGCAAACGTATGTATATAATTCCTGGATAAAAGTAAACGCTCGATCATTTTTAAATATAATAATCAAAGACAATAATGTTGGGCAATTCCCAAACGCGTCACTGTCAAAAACTTACCTCTAAAGAAGCGGCGGTTTGCAAATTTGGGGACACATATGACGGCGCTGCATTTTCTCTAACGCTAGCTCTAGGTGCAGTCGCAGCGCCTTCAGGTAGGGGCAAGTCCCGCGCTAATATAGCATACTCTACATCCATATGTTTAATAAATGGATTGCTCAAAGCTCTTTTTGCACTTTCAGGATCCTCCTCATCGTACGCCTGGAGAAGCATTTCTAACGTCTGCACCTCGGGTCCTTCGCAATAATTCCCCCATTCTTTAAATGCCTTTTCAGCAGCGACGACGTCACCGCGCGCTAATTGTACTAACACTAAAGCTACTGCTAACCGGCCGGTCGCCTGGTAAGATTCATTTTGTTGATGAAGACCTATTTCACGTCGCAGTGAGTCTGCGGCCGAATCGAACCTATAAATAAATACGTCACTAGAGCCGCCCCGCATTAACGTCACTCTTACTGTTTCAACTTGACGTAGATTCGCGACACTTTGCTTACATATTCGGTCGCCTGTCGTGAACTATCCTGAACCTGTAACAAGGCAAGACTGCAATAGGCCGACTAGCAGAGGGCAATTACCATTGCGATATCAGCGGCGTGTAAATATAAGTTAAGCGCTTGCTCTGGATGCTGCTGCTCGACAATTTTGGCAGCCTTATCCAGGGAGGCGGCCGCAGTATCCGCACTCCCATGGCTTTGGAACATATTCGCGGCTCGCTCCGCGAACGCGGGTACGTCTCTTAAATCTCCTAACTCCTTGCAAACTAAAATCGCTTGATCGATACATTTGGCGGCATAAAACAATCTGCATCAGTTAAGGGCAGTACACATATGATTTGTTGACTGTTTATAATAAGACAGGTTTTTGTTTTTAAAAGTACTTAATCAACTTCTTCATTTTATCGGCAGCCTTTATAAGAGGTGGCCGCTTTTGGCTTAGGAAATTTAGGTTTTGATTTAAAAAAAATGCCAGTATAGATTTTATAGATGTACCGCTTCATAACGAAAAAGAACAGAACTAACACGCGAGAAAATAAAGCGCGTTAAGATAGGAAGCGAATGTAAGAGTTGAAACCGAGGTCGAAACGCCAGTGTGTCTGTTCTAAAAACCGTCGTAACGGGCATGAGGGACGCAATCCGGCAAGTAAATAAGTACAAATCAAGTGGGAGAAAAGGATTTGTAACCAAACTTTCGGGGAAAAACTACGCATTTTGAGTTTGCGTAACGCGAAATTCTGCACCAAGGCTATGTTTAAACTGAAGCTATATTTTTGAAGTATAAATAAATTTCAGGTAAAAAAGTGATCAAACCAAACCTAATTATTTTAAGTGGACTGGGGCAATATTTAAAAAAATTCAAAATACTTATCAAAATTAAAAAAAAGTTCAAACAGATTAAATTTTTTTAATTTTTTGCGTTATAGATAAAAATATACAGGGTATTCCATTTAAAAAAATGAGGTTAGGTCCAATAACTTTTTACCTGACTCCCTAGGATAATTATTCAGCAATCATATTTTTACCCTGTATACCGTTTGACCTGAAGACTGAAGTCTATTTGCATATAAAATGGTTGCTGAACAAATTACACCAAATTTGCTAAGGTTTCTATTAACACTTTTTTGAAACTCTGGATAAGTGAGCCCTGAAATCTGGAAAATAAGTCATACATTTTTTTATGTACTTTAAAGGGTAAATTAAATTAAAAACGAGTTTGTGGTCAGAGTATAGAGATGGGTAGGGTATGTTAGAACATGTGTCTTAGTAGAGATGTGGCATCGTAGCGATTAAAATATTGAACAAGTTACAATACGTTGCTTTTACGGTCTCCAGGTGCCCTGGACATTTTTTTCAAATTCCGGCCGGCCTTCCACCGTCACCTTAAAAACCCAAACATGTCCGGGTAAATCCGGATGTATTGAAAACCCTACATTTGGCACAGATCTAAGTGGGTCTATTGAGCTTCAGAAAATAATATACCACCCTGTATTTCGATCGATATAGGACTCCTTGTGTAAATGTAGAACAAAGTTGCAAATAAGTTCAGCTCAAGGGGGGAGAAATCTAATTATGACAAAATATCTAGGTTGTTATACCATACAACCATAACGTCTTGTTTTGTTTGTTGCATGTATGATCACCTTAAAAAGTAAAAATTGTGCAAGGATACGATCTGTTTTGTTTGTGACAATCTGCCGCCTTTAATAGGCTGTCACGGCACTGTTCGAAAGCCTTGGCATTACGAAAGCAGGTCGCTACAATGTAAATATTATACACAACTGGCACAGAGTACCCAAATGAGTTACCTGCTTTGTTGTATTCCTCGGCGGCTATTTCGTAATCGGGGCGCCATTTCAAAAGGGATGTTTTGAGACTAACAAAAAAGAGGGAGTTAATTTAGTTAGGGAAATCGGGATTTACCTTTTCTCTGCGACCCTGATGTGTTCAAGACCCTCCTCTATCTTTTTATTTGCATTCATAATTTTGATCAATGGGAAAAGCGTTTCATACACCGCAAGCCAACGGTCACGAAATTAATCACACATACACCAAACAGCTCTGTCAAAATCAGCTGTAGTGGGTGTATTGCGGTTTGCGGTGTTTCTGATATAGGCAACAATAAATACGCTAGAAAGCGCCTACAGCACCGTCTGTATTGTATGTACAGGGTGTGCCACGTATGTTTTGTGATTAATAAATCGGATTCCGCAAAATGGACGCATCAAATTATTCAAATTTGTATGTACCAAATGTGTATCGCATTGGTTTAAGTTAAGTTGAACTAAGATGATTAGAAAATTCATTAATTGTAATTAGACACGCTTCACCGCTCTAACACGACATGTTCACATCGCACTCGCCTTAATGTGATTGGGAGAGAGAGAAAGAGACGAGGAGACACATGATTGAAACGTCTAAAGCAGTGCCCTGTGTGGATACATTACATTACAGATTGTTTACTTTACCTTAGTAATCACAATGTGCTGCCACCAGACACTCACTGTTAAGCTTCATTTACATTCAATTCCATATTGAATTAATTGTAAAATTTACTTTCTTGTCATATGGTGGCAGCACGGTATCGTTTACAAAACAACTTGATTTAAAAGTAAGCCGAAGCGCAATTCGAATTTCGTCAAGCAGCTTGACTAGTGCAATTTAGTAATTCCAAATTTTAAGGTTATAGTTTTATTTTTTCTGTATTTCTTATGTTATATTTGTGTACTTTTAAGGAGTAGAGTAGGAAAAAGTATGTTTGAAGATGAGTTGGTTGAAGATAGTGACAATGGGGGAAGTATATGTAGACTACAAATGTGGTCATACCTTTTAACGATGAAATGTTTTTACAACTTTATTTGCAATTACCCTGCAATTTACAACCCACAAGCAAAAGGGTACAGTAATAAAGCACTAAAAGAAACAACACAAATGTGTTTGTTTTGTTAGACCTAACCTATAAATTTCTTTGTAATGTACATGATCACTACTTTCTGAATTGAAGTAATTCGTGTTTGATTTGAATGTAAATGAAACTTTAATCTGAATCGTCTGAATCACTCTGTATCTAGTGACTTTACTGAATCACGAAAGGAGCCTTTAACATTTGCGCCAAAGAAAGTTATCGTAAGGTAATTTGATGTTTTGAACGTAAAAATATCGAATCCAATCGCTCGAAAAAATACATTAGAATGGTTAATGCGACATTCATTCTGGGTATACATAGTATTTTGTATCTACAGCCACAACCTACTTATTTTCACGCACTGTGTACGTACAATTAAATAAATCGGCGACGCGTAATTTTCACGCGATTGTCCTTTTTTGACAAATTTTGGCATTTTAATACTCAGTTTGTGATTTCACTTTAGTATTTTTGTTGATGTTCCAACCAAAAAGGTACTAATTTCTTAGAAAATTGTCGGAAAGTGAACATTCCCTGTAAATTTAGTTGAGTCTGCGCAGTAGAAAACGCAAACGTCATACCGGATTCGTGTGATTCACTTCAGTGAGAAGAACGCTAATCTAATATCTCGGTTTAAAGAAAAAATCTGCGATCATCCATTTGTCGGTACACTTTATTCCTTGCCGTTTGCAGTTCTTTTTTTTCTACGTATATCTTTTGAGTATCGTATGTCCATCCAGAACCTCCAAACATTTGGTAAGTGGAATTATTTCGAAAACATTTTCGTCTTGTACTTTCGCCAAAATGGCGATTGTTTTTAGTTCTCGTATTCTATTTATAGCGATGTTTTTCTAATGCAAGTTGTCTAAAATTTTCCGAACCTTTCTTTTTGCGTAGTATTTACCATTACGTAGCGCTTTTGTATGTTTCCACCCAACATTTGTCATTAGGCGTGACCTCGACCTGATTTGTTTGTAATACTTTAGACCCCTTTGCTGACGCAAACAAGGGTGCAGACGACGATGTGCAAGACGGACTCGTTCATATAAGAATTCAACAGCGAAATGGTCGCAAGACTTTAACTACTGTTCAGGGCCTTTCGTCGGATTATGACTTGAAAAAAATTGTTCGAGCATGTAAAAAGGTATAGTTCGCACTCGAAAATTGTGGTTTAGTGTTCACTATTGACAATTTTAGGAATTTGCCTGCAATGGAACAGTGATAGAGCATCCCGAATACGGTGAAGTGTTACAACTGCAGGGCGATCAACGTGAAAACATTTGCCAGTGGCTGACAAAGGCAGGCCTGGCTAAGCCAGACCAGTTAAAGGTTCACGGCTTCTAATGTTCCACTACTATTATAAAACTTGATTCACCTCGACACTTTTAGTTGCTACCAATCACAACTCGAAATCTTAGTTGTAGTAAAATGCGCCCATTATTATCCAGTTAATATGTATCTGGGGGCATACGATATCTTTAGAGAAATTTTCTGTATACACCATGTTTGCAACGTTTTGTTATTAATATTTATGAACTAGACGCATTGTGTGAATTTATTAAATTTTTATATAGTGTCGTCATCGTTTGTTTAATAATGCAGGACTGCAATGTTAAGCGAACCTCTTCATGTAATTGTGCCTTTCCATATTTTCAGTTTCAGGTTATTTACTTTTTTGTTCATGTTGACCGTATTTAGTTACTCCGGACTCCAATAAATAGCTAATTAATGTTTTGTGTTTTATGTTTGAAACTCCTAGGGGAAGATTTTGCCAATCTTTGCCTACTGTTGAGCGATTATTTTTACTACATATTTTATGTGTGGGTTTGTGATAAAAAAAAGTTATTTTTAGCTTGACGAGTGTGTATGTGGTTGGTTTTTTTGACCACTAGTAACTAAAAAACCCCTGAACCGATTTGGACGAAATTTAGGGTGCATATAGGGTGGTATGGGGAATCAAAAACGTCCTATGTGGTTTAGATCCGCATGGTTGTTGAGGGCTTCAAAAGAGCCATAACGGCTTGAAAAAATGTTTTTCGCATTCACTGGCCAAGATGGCTTAAAAAAGTTCATTACAATTTTTTTGGGAGTTCCTTTGTTTTTGAGAAGTTTTGAATTGAAAAGTTAGCATCAGAGTGAAAAATGTTAATTACAAAAAAGATGTGTCTTGATGAGATCTACAAAAAAGGCTCCTACACTTTTTGCGTCGGGTTCAAAATAAAGGCGCTAGAGGGCAAAGATAATTGCAATGACTATTAAAAGTAGTCGGAAAGTCAAGTCAGGAGTTTAGGTACCTGATGACTGTTTTATATTTGGTCAGTAAAAATTTAAAATCATTCAATGACCTAAAATATACACTTGTTTGCAATGTTTTTAAATTTTCCAATGTAAAATTGCCTGTTAGCTAGAGCCCCTCTAACTGCGACATTGAGGGAACTGAGCTTTTCCAAAATTATATAGATGCTGTAGCATATATGCTTTTTTGAAGTCTCAGATAAACAGGAGCTGAGCCTATCGGAATTCGCTTTAGAAAAGATTAACCCTTACAAAAATTGATGAATTGTAGTTTTGCGGACTCTATACGACAAAATTTAGCATGTAAACTGTTCACTCGCGCCTTTGTCCTGAAAGCTACCATGTAGTAGTGTTTGCTCTTCGTCATAGAATTGTGAGCACTCTCGGGCACAACATTAGAAGAAGGGAGGTGTCAAGAGCCATAGCAAATCTTAGGAAGAGAGTGGCACTGTGCTCAGAATTAGGAGGTGGGCAATTTGAACACATGCTTGTGATGTATTTTGTTCTAATTTTAATTATAATTTTCTTGCAAAACGAAGGTTCAGTTCTGGTTCAGATGAAAATCAAATTTCTACTTCTCTAACAAGGCTGCAACCAGACAGATGGATCAAACTCTCAAACTTTTGTTTACAACAAAAGAACGTTTTGTTTTTCCAAAGCACTCTGATCAAAAAATTAAAAATTGTATTTTTAGGAAAAATGTGATACTGAACCACCATGTGTGATATATCGTTGTAAAGACAAAAAAAAGACGTAATCTCAAAATGTGAGAATTCAAAATGGCGCCCATAAGAAAAACTAAAGCTGCCACGTGTTTCTCCGTCATCTTGAAAGATATTAAAAACAAGATGCCATATTTGAAATCTCCATTAAAAAGTGTCCGAATAGTGTGTTAATTAAAAATGTCTACTACGATTAGTTTATCATAAAAAAATGAAAAACTAAAATCAGAAATTTTCGTTTTTTTGCGATATCTTCAAAACTATTGAAGATATTTCAAATTTCTCTTCAGACTCTTATTCAGCACGAAAATTGGCAACTTTGCTCCCATTTAACCAACTGTCTATCTCTTAAGATAAGTGAGATCCCCATAGTGGCACTCGAAAAATGGACACCGTGTATAATTTCCTATGTACCTAAACAAAAATTCCAAATGTGACTCGTCAGCAACTTTTTTTTTATCGCCATAGTAATTTCAAAATATTCGGCAGTCATATGTTCCAGAGGACATTCTCTACATGATGGTTGATGGCGATATCAAATTTTCAATTGGACAAAAACCCCGGCAAATACATACTATGCGATCAAAAATAGTGCTGTCAAACCACTTTTGGAATTTTCGGGTTACATGGTACTTGAACTTCCAAAGGCGACTCGACCGCCACTCATTTTTGATCTCCCGTTATTATGGATACGTTGACATCGGCCCATATATTATGTGATTATGGGAGATTCCCCGTAGAGGTATGTACCTATACAGGGTGTTACACGACCGTTCGAAAAAAAAAAATCGGGTTGTAGAGGGCATCAAAACAAGCACTTTTTCCAAATAAACCGAGGGTCCAACGTGTTTCGTTTGGGAGCCACCCCCCAAAGAGTGTTGAAATCTGCATTTCTTCTTTAATTTTTTTCTCAGCAACCATAAGAGTTACAAAGTCGGGTGGCATGTCTTTGAATAGGTTTTTGGGTATGCTCTTTCCGATTTTGCAATTTTTTTTTCAAAATTCCTACCCCTAAAGGGCGCACCCCTAAACTAGGGTGCAAAAAAAAATTCTGATTTCGACGAAATTTGGTATCTGGGGGTTTTTTAACATGAAAATCACGAATCTGAAATTAGTTTTTGAAAATTCGAAAAAAAAAGTTCCACTGCAATTCTTGGCGGGACAACGAAAATAGAGATAATTCCACGAAATTTGTTGTGTACATACTAAACGAGTTAAGGAACAAAACTGTCGAACAGTTTTTTAAAATAACTTTTCAAAAGTTATACTCATTTGAATGTTGGTCCTTCGGGTCGCGAAGTGTCCCAAGCCTACTAGTAAGCCATAATTTCGCATGTGAAAGGAGCGTGTTCTTTTGGAAGTTATTTTTCAACCTAAGATTATGAAAATTTTTGATCATAGTGAAAAAGTATCATACGGAAAGTGATTTGACTTTTTCCCCTTCCTTATTTAGATAATAAATAATCGATCAGCGCTTTAAGATACCTTGGTAGGTGTTTTAATCGATACATCGAATTTTTTAATCATTTAATGACCGAATTAATTCCAAATAACAAAATATCGACTCAAACCGTTAATCTTTTGTTTTTGCAACATTGTCAACCAACACATGCGAAATTATGGCTTACTAGTAGGCTTGGGACACTTCGCGACCCGAAGGACCAACATTCAAATGAGTATAACTTTTGTTTGAAAAGTTATTTTAAAAAACTGTTCGACAGTTTTGTTCCTTACCTCGTTTAGTATGTACACAACAAATTTCGTGGAATTATCTCTATTTTCGTTGTCCCGCCAAGAATTGCAGTGGAACTTTTTTTTTCGAATTTTCAAAAACTAATTTCAGATTCGTGATTTTCATGTTAAAAACCCCCAGATACCAAATTTCGTCGAAATCAGAATTTTTTTTTGCACCCTAGTTTAGAGGTGCGCCCTTTAGGGGTAGGAATTTTGAAAAAAAAATTGCAAAATCGGAAAGAGCATACCCAAAAACCTATTCAAAGACATGCCACCCGACTTTGTAACTCTTATGGTTGCTGAGAAAAAAATTAAAGAAGAAATGCTGATTTCAACACTCTTTGGGGGGTGGCTCCCAAACGAAACACGTTGGACCCTCGGTTTATTTGGAAAAAGTGCTTGTTTTGATGCCCTCTACAACCCGATTTTTTTTTTCGAACGGTCGTGTAACACCCTGTATATCGCCTTCCTCATAGTTTCGCTGCTAGAAAGTTGTCCAAGCACGGCCTCATCAGTTATAGCATTTCGAATGGCATTACTCCTTATCTTATTTGCTGTGGCGTTTCCATGGTGTGGTCTCTGCTCTACGTTTTACGGCTGTTTTGTTTACGCAGCAATCGCTGTTATTTGGTTTTTTAGCATTGTAATTTCTACTGAATAAACGGAAAAGTGGTCAACATTGACTTAAGTTATAGGGATCAACGAATTTCTCATTGGATGGGGGGAATTTTTTCATTGGTGGAAAAAATTCGCGTCATAAAGAGTACCGATATAGATATATGCCAAGAAGTGGGAAAATAGGTGTTGTCGGAGAACATTCGACGACAGACTTTCCCGGAAAAATCTGGACAGCGCCGAGTGATTTTTTGTGCGACACTTGAATCGATACTGTGACGGAATTAAGTACCCATATCAGCTATAGCCCTGATATTCTATGAATATTCTTACAATCGCCCCTAAATGAATATATATCTAGAATCTCTCAGGAATATTCTAAATATACTTAGAATAAAGTGAATATTCAAGGAATATTTATATTATATATTCCATGATTATTTCCTAAAGAATATTCCAGGAATAATTTTAGCGAAGGTTCGTAGTGTATTGACAAGTTTGGATGAAGACATTTAGGGTGGCACTCCTACTTTGTTAATTTTGTCTCTGTTTACTCCCCAATATACTACAACAGATATTTTAATGTATAATTAATGTAAAATATCATTAGTATTTCATTGAAAATATTCCAAGTAGGTAATGGCGTTAGCGTGATCACGTGGGGCGGCAAATCGTAGTACGCAGATGCTGAGAAAGCGTTTCGTTTTTCTTTCCTATAGTCCTCCGCGTTATTATGTTACTTTTTTTCGCCAGTTGTTTTCTCAGGTCGTGCCGTTCAGTGTCTTGAAAATGAAATAAAAACATTTTGAAACTTGACATAAAATAATAGGACATTCGTTGCTTTTCACGGAAGTTAATGTTCTGAAAAGTAAGCATGCGTATTTTGTGACGTATTTTAAACTCGATTTTAAACTCATAATTTGTTAGGTGAAGGTGGAGTCATACAAATTTTAATGTGAAATAAATACGAGTATCATGATCAAATGTTTCTATTATGTCATATGTGCAACATTTTTTGATATTAAATGTTTAAACCATAATTTTTTAAGACAATATTGATTGCGAATATACGGAGAACAAAGATTTATAAATTCTGAGCATATATTTACAGATGTTCCTAGAATAAAATCATCTTACATATTTAGCCGAATATTCCTAGAATATTCTGTGGGCGGACATAAGATATAGGTACCTACTATGAAATTCTGTAAATTCTAATATATTTACGGATATTCTAAAATTGTTTAGATATTCCTAGAGGAATATTTTCAGAATATTGTGATGATCTTAGCCTCCTAATATCTCGGCGAGCTAACGCCAACTTCAAGTCACACCGGGATATTGGACCATATTCTGTAGTAGCGG